AATTGCTCCCACAGAGCAAATGCAAGAGATGTGAAGCAAATTCATATAAAGGGAAGATACCAGTGAAACTTGAAGGTGCTGAGGTTTTGTTATTACCCTGTACGACTGAGTTACAAAGTCCAGCTTGATTTTTCACAGTCCCATTTAATATAAGCAAACAACATGCGGACGGTTACAGAAAGCAGTTAATGGCACAGCAAAGGGAACAGAAAACTTGAAATACTCTGGACGTATTCTGTACCTTCTATAAGGCATTGAAATGTCAACATTATTAATCCTTGTCTAGTTTTTTATATTATCCCAAAGAGTCATGCAGAAAAGTGACATGTAATATTTTAACATCTTCAGATATATCCTCATCCGCTTGAAATATACTACAGGATAATAGACTTTTTTTTTTTCCTGATAATTATACAATAAAATATCATGTATCATATTTATAACTGTATTATATGAGTCAGACTATCATATGTGGGATTAGGGAAGACACTAAAATGTGAAGTATACAATTCCAATATTTTCCTAACAGACTATGTGCACAATAGGGCATTATTATCCCAATATGGTATTTTCAATAATATGCCTTAGAATTAGATCTAGCAGAAAAATTAAATGCTTTCTCAGCAGTATTTCCACAATTTCAGGTTTTACAACTCATCAGTGCTTAAAATTTTTAACGTACTAATTTAAATTGTTTGTACAGGAATTCTCAAGGTTTCACAAGGAAATTACACCTATGTTTGATGGTCTACAAAACAACAGGGTTGAATGGAAAACACGAGCTGATGAATATGACGAGAAGATGAAAGCTATTGAGGAACAAAAGAAAAAGGAAGAAGAAGCAGCTGCCCAAAAAGGTTAAGTAACTTCTTAGATTTTCATTTACATATATTTGTAAGGCAGTTGACATATTCTCTCTCTCTCTCAAATTCACACATGCAGTGCACTTGTGCAATATTCTATTAAACTTTATACTAATAGTATGCAAGTTCTGAATTTGCCAAATTAGCTTTATCTTTACTTGGAAGAGGAGTAAACTTTAAAGACGACACAAATCCAGTACGCTGACTTCATTTTCCGAACTGCAGGATTATATAAAATATGACCATCACAAACGTGAAGGGAATGTAAAATTTCTTTTGCCTAAAGACTTAAAATTGAATGTAATTAAATGCTTATCTGAAATACTAGATATGTATTAAAATTCTGTGTGGCACCAACCCCAAATGTATTCAGGTGCTTTGTTAAAGTTGGAAATGAAAAACATAAGGGAATGGAGGGTATGCATTTGGAACATAAAAAAGCAGTGCAAATCCCCAAATCTCTTCCAAGTTTAAGATAAAGCTTTGGGCTCTAATTCCCTACCATAAGTTTCTTGGCTGAAATACACTCTCTCATATTACAAATTAAACACTACTCTTCCAAAGAGAGTCCAAGTCCTGAAAATGAAAGCATGGTTCTGCATATCCTAACCTAGAAGAGAATCTGATTTTACAGAAACTGAGAACCTATCACTCAAGTGTAAGAGTCAAATGAGTCAGTTATTTTTATTCTGTAATGCATGTGCAACAGCAGGTCAACAGCTCTGCCAATCAACTGAGATGACTGGTTCAGAGATTAAAACAAAACCATGTGTGATTAAGCCAAAGTGATTAATTGTCAGCTAGTTTGAAGAAGAAAAGTTAGTTTACTCTGTGTTTCATATTTTTAAAACATAAAACAGTACTGAACAATTTATTTGCTCATCAGGGTCTGTGGGAAATAGGTGAGTATTCTTCACATTTCACACAAAAGAGGGGCTACTCAAGGCCACCCATCAAGTTACTGTCAGTGTGTGAAGTGGAACCAGGATTATTGGCTCCTAAAAATATTGATACTAGGTTAAAATAAAATTTAAAAAAAAATAAAAGTTATCGCAAAGTGGTTTAAAAAGTACTGTAAATTACATTATTTCATCAAAGTAGATTTTTGGAAAAGTTTAATAAAATGAGTCAAATATTTTGGCCTGCTCATGCTGTGATACCACTTACGCACACTTTCACAGAAATTACACCCTCCAAATTGTGTCCCAAATTTATTTTCAATGACACTTTTTTTCTTGAAATTGCTCATATAATTTTACTTAAGATTAATTTATTGCTGAGAACTAGCTGGTTGTCAGTACATAAAAAGTATTCTTTTCCTTACACTGGAATGTAAGCACCTGAACTTCACAGAAATATTAGCAAGACAAAACAAAAAATCTGGGATCTCCTCACACAACTTCAAACCTCCTTACATATTTGCTTTCTTGGCAAAGAGTATAGTTACTAAAGTCAGATGTTATGCCCTTAAGCATAAGCTTCTTAAATAAAAACGAAATAATACATTTAGGAAGAGTTGGGTATTTCCACTCTCACTTGAAGTTAGGATCATCTTAGAACATTGGTATTTTGGAATCACTTAAGCCACTGACTTAGGAAGTATTTTCCCACAGGGAAAACAGCCAAGCACAGACTGATTTGCAGGAGCCAAGGATCTGGCCTTTGCATAGAATAATTGGCATCCCAAAAAGAAAGGGAATTATTCTGCATCTTTTTAAACACACACTGGAATGAGGCCATGCACATTTGTGAAGGACAGATCTGACACTGTCAAATCAAGGCCATGTAAATATATGGGTTTGTTAAGTCAGTTCATACAAACAAGAATTTGATACATGCTGAACCATGGTCCTTTCTCTAGATCACACTGACCGGGCTATTCTTAGCCATTCAGTAGACACAAAACAAAATAAACATGTTTGCTGAACCACTACAGTGGAAAGTTCAGAAGAGAAAGTAAAACAGAGCAGAGTATTAAACTGAGAAAATCAAATACATAGTTAGTAACATAGTGTTGATTATATCCACAAATTACAGAGGGTAGGACACTGATTATGTGACATGTTTCAATGCAGGTGGAAAGGGTCGAAAATGACCTAGTAACATGGTGATCCACAGCTTTCGAATGTAAGTTTTAATTCTAATATTGGTATCTTACCTTAAATGAACCTGGAAACGCAATTGATTACATTGAAAGAATCTTAACTATGACCAATGAACATCTGTGGAATCATTTGAGAGAGACAGTAACAGAATCAGTAGCTATAGATAAAAATATAAAAACTATCTCTCTCTCTTAACCAGTAATTACAAAGGGATTCACGCAGGGTTGAATAAAGGTTTATGTAATTAGGTCAAATTAAAGTTTTTGTATCATCTGCTTCAAAAATAGATTCACAGATTATATTGATCAAAGAGTTCCTTTTTTTTTGCATGGCTTGCATTCCTCAGTTTTGTATGTGTGGGACAGTCATATATACTTAACTGCTGAAACTTTCCAGTAAGAGTGGTTCAGTGTGTGTTTGGTCCTTTGAGAAATGTTAGTATCCACTCCTACACTATATGCACATATGTATATATAATGTGTCATTGTTTCATATTCCTATTTCCCAGACAAGCAGTGAAATTTCAGAAGGTCAAACACACATAATATGCATAAAACAAAAGCAACACCTCTATAACAAGAAATTAGAGCAGCTAAAATTAACAGAAAATACTCATTTTACTTTTCTTATCTGTTTTTTAGCAGAAAATCCAGGTGGAGGTGAAGAAGGAAAATCCAAAACATGTGTAGTTTTGTAATTCTTTGTCTCAAACTGTTCCTGCTACAGAAAAGACATCTAGAAAGAACGTCAATGAACCCCAGTGGATTTCTGCTTTGCATAGAATAGTATAGCTTGATCTCTTAACAATCCTCTTAAAACATTTGCCATTTGTTGGAAATAATTTTTAATGAAGTAAAAAAATGGTTACAATTAAAAACTGAAAATAATAACGGTGTGAACTGTGCGCTCTAGGTATTTTTCCATGTCACTCAATTTACATAGAGTGTTTTTATTAAAATAGATCATTCTGCACACTGTCCAGAAAACATACAATTTTTGGCAGATCTATGAAATTATGGAATGAAATCTAATGTGTACAATTCAAACAAAAAATATTGCTACTTGTATATTTAGATTTTTATATTATGTGTCTTTCCTTAATCTGGAATTCCATCCATTCCCTTCATTCTCAACACTATATAAAGTTCTAGAGTAAACATCTCCTTCACTTTAGGAATGCTCAACACAAATTCCCTGGCTCTGTTTATAAAAAGCAAGCCCATGGTACACTGTGTTTTTTCAAAATTGCCAAGAGAGTTTGCTAAGATACCAGCATATCCACAGTAGGATCTACATTCAAAAGCATTTTAAAAGGCTCACATACTCCCAATGTACCCTTTTGAAAATGCAATAAATTAAAGTATTTGAAAACCAATTAGTTGGCAACAATTTAATAATGAGAAGGGAAAGGAAAACAGAGGTAGAGCACATTAGAATTCACATTACCTCTCTCCCTAATACCAGAGACAGACTGCACACAAATTAGCTCCTCATAAACAATGAAGAGCGACCAAAACCTGTTCTTGAACAATGACAGTCCACTCCACACATTCTACTCAGGTCTTGCAAAGCCAGCTCCTCCTGCAGATGGAGGAGGGGAAATGGTTGGTATATTATGCACAGATCTGAGTATTCACTGGAACCAGTTCCAAATCCAAGGAGATGGATGTCAAACGCAATTCCTGCAATAAGCAAATTCAACATGCAGACTCAATCCTGCCACTTTTCCTCCCCCTTTAAACAAAGAAGACCCACACTTTTTTTCCCCTCTGAAGGGCCCTCAGTATTCACAGAGAAGGGAGAATGAGTGAATTGCTCTATATACACCTTTCTAAGAACGCTCTATGAACAGAGATACTGTGTACAATTATCACTCAAAATTAAAGGAATCCACAAAAAAACCCCAAACACTTAAAACATCCTGACTTATAAATGAGCCAAATATTTTATGCAAACAGTTATGACATAAAACTGGGTATATCATGTGTTATTTTCTGTATTAAATGCAGCTACTAAAGAAAACTATTTCAAGGTTGTTTGATAATGTAATTTTATTCAAACTGTATTAAATTATGTATTTACTATGTATACTGTAAATTTTTATAACTGTATTTTAAAGACCCAAAGAGGAGTTAGTTATCCAGAACACATACTTAATATACAATACTTGAAGCAACAAATATAGCAACACATTCGACAAAAGCCCCTTTGGGCAAGTTGCACACGTGTAAGCAGATTGCTGCAGATTGGATTTGACTCTCAACCAAGCTTGCAAGATGACAGAGAATTAACCTTTAAATCCACCTTCTTACCTAAAGAAGCCTTCATGCAAGGCTACATTTATTTCTTACTCAAGGACACCCTAAATATGTCCTTGTACTGTCATCTATTATGTAAGTACAAACTGTTCAAAATGTAATTTTGTTAAGTAATACTTGTAAATAGAGTTCTCAACTTATTCACATGAGTGCATGTAAAATGTTCATAAATACACTGCAACCATCTCTGCTGTTCCTTTTTCCACATCAAATACTATAAATACTTTCTATACATATATCTACAGTGAGAAGTACTTATCAAAAGATATATTTTATACAATAGTAACTTTCCTCAGAATAACATGAAAATTTAATTTAAAAAAGTTTGTTCTTCGTATCCAAAGTAATTTGCACCTGACAGAAAAAAATACCCACTGTACTTATTCATGTGCAGACTGTTTCTTGTGAAACATAACTGAATGAATCTTTAAAGATATGTTGCACCTTGAAGAGGAATACAAATCCAGTAAGTTTCTCAAGCAATATACATGCTTTACTTGTATATTTAGAATTACACTTTAAAGAAGGATTAACATTCAATTAATGGAAAGGAGATCAGAAGCCACAGATAACATAAAAGTCACATGTACATCTCCAGTAGAAAGCCACACACGTATGTTTTACATCAAAAATACCAACCAAACTTTTATAAATGGAATTATAAGACACATTGCATTTCAGCTAAAATTTAAAACAAAGTCACAATAAACTGAACTTTTTAAAGGATTATGGGAGACATTTCACAATTTACTTAATTCAAGCAGAGTACATATTTCATAACACTTGAAAATACTTATGGAGACTAATACCTGAATATTAAAGTCTACATGGCCAATAAATTTAAGGCTATTACCTCTTGTTAAATAAATTAAAAATACAAATATATTAAAGTGTATGGCTTTAAACTGCTCACAGAAACTTACAAATGCTCCTTCATAAAAATCTGACAATACCTGAAGTTTGGGATAAAATAAAAAGCAGTGAACTTCTGATGTAATGTTAATAAACCATATTCTTGTTTGTTTAAGTCTGGGTGCCATATATCTTTTGCACTGAAAGAGTTATTTCTCTTGTTTCATGAGTATGCAACCTATCATAAGAGACAAAGTTTTTAGATTTGAAGCCTTCTACAAAGATAATCTACCCAAATGGTTCATATGAGTGACTGTAGAAAAAGTATGCTGGAAGAAAGAGGTCTCTGGTAAATTATGACTGGATTTCCAGACTTCCATCTTGACAATTCATGAAGAAAGTCAGCCTATATCAATTTCAAGATTTAGAGAAACAAGTCTTGAAAATACTCGTCAAACTCCTCCTCCCTGTAAGAACAACAACGAAAATGTCAAAGACAGTTCTGCTTTGGATTTTTACCTAGGAGATAATCTTTGTATGAAAAATATTTAGTAAACTTCTTCCTAGAATTGTAGAACATATAATAATTTTGAATTATTCCAATATCCTTCACAATTTCTTGACTGAGCAACAGTAGTGAGCTGTTAGGATTTACTTCTAAAATAATTAACAGCATAGTAGAACGTAAGACAGCAGTGGTATCAGTGGCTTGAGAAAGGTTTTCATCCAGAGTTGTGTATGACTCCTCTTTAAAAACACATTCTTAGGTTAGCATGAAAAAAGATTTGACATAACTTTAAATGTCAGATTATTCATTGAAACACTCAGGAAAAATCTCTGCCTTTGCAGTCCTGAATGGACACTGTACATTTTACCAGCTACAAGTTCACAGGATCAAACTAACCGTGATTTTTCATCTGCATCTTGTAGGGGACCTTTCCAAAAGTCAGCATCTGAAGGACCATCTTCTGCATCGCTGTTATTAGAATCTGTTAAAAAATTTAAAGTGTTTATTAAATAAATTGTAAAATAATTAATCTTTTTTTTTACTTAGATGGCATATTACTAGGAGTAATGTTTAACTACAATCATGAGAATTAACACTTTACCTTGCATAAAATGAAAATGTTTTGCAACTTTAATCAATGTAGCATCAAAAAGAGTCTTGGATACCATGAACTAACGTTTTGGCCAAACATAACAACAATTGTGTGAAAACACTGCTCTCGACACAACAGCAGCACAGCATTTTGTTCCTAAAATCAAACAATCGCAAACCCAGAATTACAATACAGTTTCAGTTAATGACATCAAATGGATCAATTACCTTATTTCTACTTAAATGACTATTTATATCGTGACTTACCAGTGAAATTGTCAGAAAACACAGATTACTGCATAACTGTTTTGTGTAAGTATATAGGAGTGAAAACTCGTATCAGAAACATGCACTGACCTAGAAAACACTGATCTTCCAATAGAGTTTTCCTGGCAAAACAGAAACTTTGGGCATGGTCCAAGTCATAAGAAAACTGCTTCAGGTCTTCCTGTAGCTAACTGTGAAAACCTGGAGCCTCAAGACATCCTTAAAAATGTACAGCAGAGCACAGAAATCAGTAGAAACACTCAATCCCTTCTAGACAGTCTGCAGCAAGAATTGGCATGACCAGAAGACGGGGCTTTTTTAATCAAAAAGAAACTGGAGACTGGAATTACTGAGCTACAGAGACAACCAGTGCCTAAAGAGTTACTGGGACTGAGTGCTCGTGCAACAAGTAGGTCTCTGAGGTACTACTGGTGGTAGCTGGAAAAGACTTTATTAAAGCCTAGGATGTATTTAAAATCTTTATTTTTTTGAGCAGAGTACATACAATTCTGTGAAGGAAAATGTACTAGTTATTATATCAGAAAAGTACTTTCCTTACACAGCAGAGATTACACAGCATACATTTGCATACCTGGACCCATGCAATTAATAATGTACCTATTTTTGCACCCGGTACTCTTTTCTGGAACAGTCTGGCCTCTCATTTTTCTGATTATTTCTATTCTGTTATCTGCCCACATTTTCATTCTTTGCTTAAACAATTTCCTTCTTAAAATTCCCTACAGTTTTTCTCCAGGATATATAAGTAATTAATTTGAACCTTCATATTTGTTTGTTTGCACGCAGCATTTTTATCTTATAAAATAATAAAAAAGTCAGCTAATAAAACTAAGATCAATGACAAATGAAATAATACAGCTTATTACAAAAACATAAGAGATATTAAAATACTTTACCTTTATCAGAACTATCTGAATCTTCTGAAGAAACCTGATCTGTAAAGAAGCACCGAGATAGAAAAAAAATAGTAAGCTTACCTTGGTTATCCGTTATCTTAAATTGTTCACAAGGATTACACACAGTTGTTCACACACATTGTTTCACAATGTATTACACACAAACGTGCACAAACATGCACACACCACACTCAAAAAAAGCAAGCAAATACCGAAGTAGAAGGATTTTTTTAACATGAGTGCAAAGGTCTCAGTTTTAGTTCAATTACGTTATCCCAAGATCTGTGGTGTAAAAGGTTATCTAACATTTCCAAAAGGCTTTCAACCCCAAAGCGTCATGAAATGAAATACTTCACAACCTTTTCTGGTATGCAATGTCCAATTCTTGGACAAATTTTCCTTGTAATGCATATTTTTCAAAAGGCTCTCCCTCTCTGCTACATATAAGAAATTTATCTTTTTTTTTGCATCTAGGAAATTTTACCTCAGAAATTTATCTTTTTGACTACCTGTGTTAGAATCAAGAAAGTTACATATCTCTATGTATAACTAAATATATTTATCTATACATAATTATGCATCTATATCTATGCAGATATAGGAAAACTAAGGTTCAACTAACACATTTGTATATTTTAATAACTGAAGGTTTAAAACTTAAATGTACCTTTATGGGTCTTTTTTTTGGACTTCTTTTTTGTTGAGCGAGAAAATTTAGTCTTCTTATTTTTTGGCTCTTTAGAGTCCTGTACAGCTGTGCCTCCTTTCTTGTGTGCTTTGACTTCTTTCCTCCTTTAAAAAAGATGAATATACACCTTCTCTATTATATGTACTTCTTATGCAACAGGAAATCTGAAGCATTTAATTCAGTCAAACAGTTCTCATTTTTTCAGAAACCTAACAGTAGCTAAACTGAAAAAATTAATTTGGTTTTAAAAAGAAAAGTGCTATAGAAACACAAGAGCTCTAGAGCTGAAGGCAAAGGACAGGAAATGCTAAACTCACTAATATGACACTGATACAGACAACAAAAACAGTGCATTGGCAAACAAACATTAAATACAGAAAACAATTTTATAACATGCCGAATTCTTACTTATTTTGAGTTTTTTTCTTTTAGCAAATAACTTTGTATATATGTAGTGAGAAAAACACAGTTAATACAGATTTTAAAATACATTTTCATATTTGATAGCAACAAAACCTGAGGTAGAGGACTCTCAAGCCTAAGAAGCTGCTGCAAACAACCAAGCCATGTGTTTTATTTTCAGCATTACTTATACTGGATTGTTGTAAGAACATAGGCTTTTTCCTACTTCTTTGTAAGAAGAGGTCAGTGAAATTCTTTCAAAGTAAGTATTACTCTGGAACAGTCAAAATGTGTGACCATGCTTATTCAGAACTCAAGTGGTTTTATGACTTTAGTTCCAAAAATCAAGACAGATCAAACTAATCTCAGTTAATGAATTATCCCTCCTAATATCTGTCTACACAGTGCTCTAGTGAAATTGCGTATGAATTAACTTTCAAAATGGATTGACTACTAGATGCACATTTGATTTGGGTTACTTTAGAAAAGAAATCATTGTTTCCTGGCTCAGAGGTTTGCCTTTCACATGCTTTGCAGATAATTGTATGGGTTAATTACTGAGACATGCAACTAAGTCAATGCCACATCAAAATTTAAAAAATCATAAAACCTGAGTGTCAATAGCTGTGGAATTCAGTAAGATTACAGATACTATATAAAAAACAAATTTAAAAAAATCTAATCTTAATGCACACATTTTGTAGGTTCAAAATACACTAATTTTCTCTCCAATTAATAAGTGATTCTCAAAGAAGAACAAACATTCAAATTCAAACTTTCCAAGCACAGTCACTTGACTCACACATAAAGCCACTATTTCTAGTAAAAGGAAAAGCATTTCAGCTCTGAAACAAAGCAAGAGGGGAAATTTAAAAAGTGTTTTGCATAAATGTTCAGATAAGAAAAATAAGCACTAGGCTGAAATTAAGCAAATGAAACTTCTGTGGTGGTAGGGATGGGATTCTTCCAGTTTGAGGGGTTTTGCACTTTCGTTAGTGCAGTCCCTAACTCTCAACAGGGACAACTCAGCGACTTTATAAGAACTACAGAACGTTTATGCTAGTTCAGCATAAATGAAGTTCCTAATCATCTAGGTGAAGTCTTTCCCCTATTTGTTGTTCATCATAACTGTAACCTATCAATAATTCACCCCCCATATTTTAAAATATTTTATTACCGGTGATGAAAGTTTAGTTTGTAGGAACATTCTGGACATAGTCCTGAAAAAGAGAAAATAAGAACATTGCAGCCATCATTCTGATAAGCATAATTAACAAAATTTAGAAGTAGATCTTTCAGTTCCAGTAGCTTTTCCTTCAAAACTGTAGTTACAATGTAATTGCAGCCAGGATTTAGAAAAATACCACAACGAAATTCTTCAGTACAAACCCGGACTTTACTAAACCTGGAGAAAGGTCACAGGTTTAGCATTGGTAACTATTCATTAAAAAAGTATCAGTGCTTATCACGTACAGACATCACATCTTATGGATCTTTGGGGACAGATCAAATTGTTCTATAACACTGAAGACCCATAAGTGTCTTAGAGCTTTGCCAGAGACCAAGTGCTCCTACATGGAGTGACTTGTGCACAAAAGAAAAAAAACACCATTAGCTTGTTTTACACAAAGTAACTGTGTAAACTATGGTACATTTAATTATGTGATGAATGTATCAAAATATACACAATACTGAAAAAGAAAATCCCAGTCAAGATGCAAGAATGGAAAAGAAATTAATTAAAGATAAGAATTTTGTAAGAAGACATAAATATTAAAGTCCGTAGAGCTGAAGGTGTGCGAGAAGTTGTCTGGTCCAAAACCCTAAGGACTCCTAAGGGTTGTAACTGAATGAGCAATGACAATGCTGAAACCCTCCCTGCAATGTCGTACTGTCCATTAAAACTAGACGTGCCTGTATACAGAACAGCTTACAATCGATTGTTCTAATTTTATGACATCATTCATTATACAGTATGAAGTGGTCAATCTGTAACAACTTCATTATATATAATGATAATAGCTGTTCTCTCTAAATCAAGACCATCATACTACCACCTGTGATTAAGAAAATTATATCCTATTCTGCATTTTTCACTTTGCATGAACTAATATAATTGAGTCTTGTTCGATGGCTTTTAAAGCACAAGATATTTGTCTCCTTTTAAGTGTACATATCCTTGAAGGGCTGACTTACGCAACTTCACGAGTGCATTCCTCTTTTCACCATGCTCAATGTAACCAAAATTCACCTCCCAGCTCTTCAGGCCTTCTTGCTCATCACAGTGCTTATTTCCACAGGAAAACTGACCTGTAAAGAGGTCAAAACCAGCAAAGTGTGGTTCAATGATTAACATGCATAGGTTTAGGCTTGTTATTTCCAGTTTTGCTCAGTTTTTGCTTTTTGTGTTCCGTTTCTTTCAAACAAAAAAGAGTGCAAATCTAAAAATAACATCTAGAGTAAGGAAACTATAACAGAAAACAACAAAGCAATCAATCAATCAATCAAACTTGTCTAATGCTGCCTATTTGCAAAGAAAAACAAAACTGGAACTGTGTTTTGAAATGTATGGATGAAGATAAGCTAAGAAATAATAAGCCTAATACTGAACTCTGAAAAAATGAATGTTACTAGGAGACATTCTATACTCTAAATAATTACTTACTTAGTAGTGGTGATGGATTAGGAAGTGTGATACAGACATGCATCTTTAATGACATCAAACTATTGAAAGTATCATGTACTTACCAAATGAAGATGCCCACATTCTTATTGCCTATCTAATATACCTGATACACCAGACATACAACTTGTATTCTAATGACCTTTCATAAACACCTTTCTTTCAAGAAAAGGAAATCCAATTTTTGTGAGAAATGATATGTCAGCTTTAATAGCTTCCTTCAGTTCATTATGTGAAAGGCAACAATGATTTTAATACAATCTGCACATAACCAATGTTGTTTACAGCACTGACTTCCTAATATTGGAGAAATAAAGATACGTATATTCCTTTTGCAGAAGCCTGATTTGTATACAGGGCTGGTAGAAGGGATGTGAAGGATGTGTATTAATAGGCTCACAAGCAGGACTGTTGGTGAACGATTAACCTCAGAAAATTCTGCTTAAGCTGCTAACTAGTGGATTGGCAGTGTCCTCAGATACTTCAGTTCTGCAATGAAACACCACTTGCAATGTGAACACTTGAAGGCACCAGCAGTGGTTCTCATCACCACTATTACTGACACAGCTAAATTAAGTACATACAATGCAAATTATCAGACAGGCAGGTAATAACGTTTTATTAGATTTGAGTAAATCAATTTATATTGCTGATTTATATTTGAAAATAGCATTGAAGACCCACGCCTTTTTTAAAGGATAGTTTAGAACCGCACTCGGGAAGAGTCCGACATCCGTGAGTGCGTTGGGTTCTCGCGCCCTCCAGTGGTGAGAGGGAGGATTTATCAATTCTTATTTTCCATTGTACGCTTTCCATCAGCATTCCATTAAAAAGCTTGAACCATGTAATTCTGCACTTTTTGCCACATTTTAAAATATGGAGTACCAGATATTAAAATTACAATGCAGTTTGAAATTCTTTTCCCCCATGAAGACATAAAAATAATTTATTTCTCATTTAATTTTAATTATCTTTTTAAAGCATTCAATAAAGCACACACCAAATGTAACTATCTGGTAACATAATCTGTAGTGCTGAATGCAACATATTACTACAACCACCTTTAGAAGTTCTAATCTTTATAGCTTAAAAATCCCATCATTAATGTTTACACTTCCTAATGTGAAATATAAATTTTTAAAAACATAATTTTTTTTTTAACTTTCTGTAGTATACTATAATAGAGCTGTTTACAGAATGCAGCTCTCCACAAAACTGTAGCTGAGAGACACTGATCAACAATATCACCCCATACGATTTTCTTGTGTCTGCATCCATGACTTCCGAAAACTACACACGTATGAGGATCCACCCACAGGAAGAGCAATCTATTCACCTCATTTTCTTGCTTGTTCAGCAACTTGAAAATGCCCAAGCACCTAGGCCATGGAATGGGGACTGCTGTGCAAGGTCCCAGTAACACACTGGTAAGAATTCACACACAGAATTAAGCTGCTAATTCAGAAACAGGACTGGGAGACATGATAACCATTCCCACTATTCCCATTGAGGCTTTCAATTCCAATTTAACCTCAAACAGACATCACACAAGAAACTTTGATTAAAAAGTTAACCTTTTGCAGAACAGCACTAGAGAAACTATTAATAAATAATTTCCTGAGGAAATGTACTGAGACACTTCAATTAAGAGTATTCTACATTATCAAATGCGTTATGGTGGTGTTCACTATAAATCTGATCTTCTGAGAATAAACCAAATGTTCTTTTAATGTTAAAATATGCAGATCACTGTGCACTCTAGACCTATGTGCATAAAACAGCAAAGTTGGAAGTTAAGTCAATTTATCGTCCATTATTATCTGATAAATTTACCAGTATTGTCAAATACCGTCTAACAAAATTATGTCGAAAAGCATCAAGAAATGTAATAAAAAATGAAAGATAGCATTACCTTTTCCTGAAATTACTTCTTTCTCATGTCGCCATCTAAATCCAAACTGTTAAGAACCAAAATTAAGTTGTAAATACTCAGTGTACTCAGTATCAGAAAGAATAATTTCAGTTGATTGATTTCCTGCATGTGGTTCATCCATTCAATCTCAGTCAGAAAAATTTAATTTCTTTCTCTTTTAATTAAATATATCTCTCTGCCTCTGCTTGACAGAATGATATTTTATTTATAAAAATACTTTACATATTTTTATTTTCACAGGAAAGTCTCCATACTGAAAAACAATTACAAAAGCAAAATTATTAACATTTTCAAGTGGAAGACAAGTTGGCCTAGAAATCTGGAAATAAAAACAAAAGAATAAAATGTATTCTATTTAATGACCAGGTGTCAAACAGATTTCATTTCTTGGCAATAGGAGACATTTCCAATCTGTTATGCTGCAAAACAAAGCAGAGACAGCAAATAAGAACTTTTCTAGAAAAATAAGACAACAACAAGAAGAAAACATTTCAAGTCCAATGCATACCAAAGTAAAGCTTAGATGCAGAGCAGAGCTAATGCAGCTCCCTTGCTGCATCACAAAACTGACAATAGAATTAAACTATCTGACAATACAGACGGTCATTTATCAGCCTGAAAGCTTGCAGACAAGATGCACTGAAGGTTCAAAGACAACCCTGACCTAAAAATTTCTTATCTAGGGAAAATGTAAGGAGTAACAGACCCATCACAAGCAACAGCTGTCAGAACACACTGTCTCTAAGTAGCCTCATACCAGAGGTTCACATTGGCATTTGATTAAAAGGAAAAGATTGTATGTTCTAACCACACAATGAAAAGTGGGATCATGGATCACAAGGTCCTCTTTGACTGCAGTGCCAGCAACCAAGATGAGTGCAAGTGAGTGTGTGAGCAGCAGTGAAGACCAAGCCAGACCATCAGCAAGGTGAAGGGCCTGGGAGCATGGAGGGTGAGCGAGTCTGCACGGGTCAGCTCTGGGTGTGAGAACACCTCTGTATGTCTAGGGCTGACAGCACAGGGGGTGTGCTGCGAGACTAGGGGAGTCTCAGCCACCTCTGTGTGGATGTGTGTGTGTGTGTGCACAGCCATGTGTGCATGTCAGTGAAACAGTCTGAACCAGCAACATTTGCAATGTGGCTGCAGCCTTGGGGGTTCATATAGCTTAGAGCTTCTTACTGTTTTCTTCTGAGCTTCAGCCTTTGACAAGGTGCTCTGCTTATTTTCCAGACCTCAGGAGAGACGCTCCCATGAAACTTGCCCTTATAATTATCCAGTATTTCGGAAAACATAGTTTTTTCTTGGAAGAAAAGTTCCAAAAGAGATCTGAGCTACAATCTCTATGCAGAGATCTTTAGAAAAATTATCTGACTTGAAGATTTTGTTGGAGCAAAACAATTACAGCTGTGAAAAGCCAGATGAGCATGTATGTGCAAGTCTCAATCTGTGCAAAATAAACGTTTAAAACATTACAGAAAACTGACCTCCAACTTTACTTTGACACCATCTAAGCAGGATATAGAACCAACAGAATCAAAGTACAGCCCAGGATGGAAGGTACCTCGACAACCATTGTTGTTCAACCTTGTTCAACTATTCATGGGAAAGGGGGCAGAGATGAGATTATCCAGTACCCTGTGCAATTGCACCTGCAAAACCTCCAGCTGTGGGGATTGTAACGTGCCACTGGGGAGGTTGTTCCAGCAAATCAATGCTTCCACTTTCTTATATCAATATGAAGTACCATCATATAAAGCATCAACAACTATCATACAAAAAGTTGGCCAGCTAAGAAGCTTGTTATCCACCCTGCAACCTCTCATAGCACCAGCACTGCAAAACAGAAGGCACAAGGGGCCAAAGATATCCAACAGTTTCTCAAAATGCAGAAAAAAAAATAAAGGCAGGAAAAATCTGAAAGCACAGACTGCATTCCATTGGTGCAAATGGGATCAGCAGCCCATTTCAGACTTCCAAGAAAAAAGCCTGCTTTGAAATCCTTCTCTACCAAACATAGGCATGGATAAATCGGTAATTGAAAAAAAAATCTCTTGTTTTTCCTATTTTTCTAAGAATTTCTAAGAAAGGACTTTCATATGATCAGAATGTATTTGAGAACAGAAAGCATAAATATTTTACGAACTGCATGACACAGCAGTTATGCTGACATGGCAATTCCAAAAATATAGGTAATGACTTATGTGCATAAATGGGAATTAAGAGTGACCTCAAAGTTAGGACAGACACACTTGAAGTCTGACAGGGAAATACTGTTCACACAACACACACACACAAAAAATCTAGGGCAGAAGGTTTCCCACAAAAGATAGCAAACACACGGAAACTTGGCACAGCAGTGAAAGAAACAAAATCTGTAAGTCTGCTCCAGGGAAATCAGCTAGGGGACAGAGAGGACATTGAGCAATATGAAACAGCTATAGGAAAATAAAATGAAATTTATTCAAAAAAAGGAGGGAAGGCATCTTCAGCATTTTAATTTTTGCTTATTTTAATTAAATGTTCACATTTTACTGTTCCAATTGTCTTTAGATGACTATCATCTTTTCTGCCTAATAGAGTTAAGCCCGGTTCTTTCAACTATTTACCAGTTAATGTAGTTTTGCAATACTATAAATAGTCTTAAAGAACTATATAGACACTGTTTGCAGCACTGGGTTACTGTGTGTTAACACCAAGACACATCTGAGTTAGCTACACTCTTTGCAAAACCACAATAGAAAATTCCTGTATGCTCTCTGACTAAGAAGTTAGTCAGCCAAAAACTTGGAGAAAATAAAGGCTGTTCCAGTTAAGAAGAAAACCTGGTGCTGGAACTGGGCTGTTTCTCTTAAGAAATTCTATTTATTTACAAGGCACATACAGATCCTGTTTCCACAAACAGAAAAAAAAGAACAACCAGCAAAAGATGCTACTTTAGAATAGACTTTTCCAAAATTGTTTCTGCCAGCATTCAAGTACAAAACTCTTTTTAGACTTTTTTTTTTAACAGTAACATTCCAGGGTTTTCTAGGCTTCATCTATTGCTCCTCTCCAAGCAACCTCTCTAGCCTTCTTCCTTTAACCCCTTTGTGTTTTCTGCCTTTTTCACACACAATGTACCTCTTCATAAAACACCATCTGACAGAAATGCTCGTATTCCCACAGAAGCACATTTTTGGGGCAGTGACAATGCTTGGATTCAAACTGCTGCTGCTTATTAAGTAACTTGACAAATTCTCACAACTCTTTCTCTAGGGAAGGGGTACAACATTCCAGTTTCACAATGTATCCACAATCATAAGGCAATTTTTAAAAAGGACATACTTCAAAACCAGTGTGATTTACAATAATTAAACATACCTTATTCTCTTTGTATCTGCTGAGATCTGCTATGCAGTATTCTTTGAACAGTTTATCATAATACTTCTTTGCAAGCCTCTTCTCCCTATAACAAAAGGTATTTTTTTATTAAATATAGAACATGACACAATTCACTTTACATTGTAATGACATTAACAAGACGTTTCATGCAAAGAACACAAGTTGCAGAGAAATGAAACAGATACACACTTATAAAACTAAGGAGTAATTTCCATAAAATTGGAAAAATATACATAAAATAATCTGCAATACATACTAAACTATGTTTTTTCAAACTCAGATTTCTTCAGAGTTTTCAGAACAGTCATTTGAATCTCAGAGAATGCACAATTATTTATTAGTTTTTCTGTCATCAACTCATGTTGCCACTTGAGCAATATCGCAATATGAAAGACCTCCTAATGGTCTTTCATTTTCAAATGCATCAAAGATCAAAGAATGATCACTAAGTATGCACAGTAATTCTTATTAGTAGGGGACACTGCAAATTTAGTACAAGTGATCTAAAAATAACATGTTCTATAATATTTTCAGTACCAATTCATGTCTGCTTCGTCTTCTTCATTCCACAGGAATCTGTGGTTTTCTCTAATAACATCAAGATCCGTCTTGTCATTTGCTCTATAAAAGGACACACTTTTTTTTAGTACAATGTAATATTAAAGTGAAAAGTCCATGAAATAATAATTTGGTAACCATCAGTATTCCACAGTTATGATCTCCACCCCACAGCATAAAGGAATACATTGCTATGAAATAAAACTACCAAAAATGTATTCCCTGGCATACCTGTTCCCTAAAAACCAAAAAAAACTCAGGGTGGAAAATGGCCACTGCAATTGTGGATGACTTGATCCTATCTGAAAACACTTTTTATACTCTTTATTGAAGACAGTAATTTTAAAAGGTAGTTATATATATCTCTAAAGAAGGTTATCATTATTCTGGACAATGGATAGCATTTCTGCCATTTCAAAAGTATTTCAGACTGTTATTTTGAAGGTACTGACAGATATTTCTCAATGTACCTTCAATTAATGCTCACCTGTCATCTTTCTTTTTGCATAACAAAACAAGAATAATTCAGCTCATGGTAAGGTCTTATCTAAAAAACGAAACAATGCAATTTTGTTTTTTTGGATTTACAATTTACAACTACTGTAGTTACCATTTTTGACCAAAAAAATTAGTAATTTCACACACAGCCACATCCGCTTCTGCCCCTAAAGCTATAATATATATTTACCAGCTTGACATAACAGGGGAGCTTTAGGGTCACGAGGGGAAAGTTTGCTAATGATTCTCACCCAGTTCGTCGGAAGTCCTCTATTTTGCCACCATAGTATAAAATGTAGTCATGCACTAACTTTTTATGTCTTTCATACTGAATAAAGCAATTAAGGATTGTTTCAGAACTTAACTAAAAAAAAAAACAAAACCAAAAAACTTTTTGTATACTTAAGAGAAAGACATTTTTTTCCTCACAAACAGTTCAGTAACTTCCAAAAAGAACAGAATTAATTAGCAACTTTTACTTAATAACCTCTCATAGAAGCTACTTTCCAAATACAGGAATTCAAGGCAATTTCATGTTTAAAACCTCATTCAGCTGCCAGACCTTTATAAAACTGTCTTCCTTTATCAAACATGCTCTGTACTCATACACACAGAAACTTGGTTTATTTTCTCAGCTGTAATTTAGACAACAGCTTCTCATATTGCAGTTTTGGTTTAAAACAGGTTTGTATTTCTGCATTATAAAAATAGTCTGGCTACTAAAATGGAACAATTTATTACATTTTTACCGTCAACATACAAGTAAAAGTTGTATGCTTTAGTTTGGAGATGAAAATCATGGAAAATTATGTAATGCTTTTTAGAATACATTGGCCTCAGAGACATAATTTGAAACACATTTTGTACCACAATTTGAGCAAAATTTGTAATTATTTATTCAGAAAATAAGCCTCTTCAAAAATAAAAACACTATATATGCCTTCTTTTTCAATTAACTTGTATCTCAACAGCAAAAAGTAGCTCTTTTGAAGAATGACTCAGTATCTGGTACTGCACTGTCAACTACTGTCATTACTGAGAAATCCCAGTATTTTACCATAATGGATAACCTGTGCCCCACCTTCAAACTTGAAGAAAAATGAAACAGAAGGATACAGCACTCATGGATATCAAGTGAAATCTTCTTTTTCTTGCTTCTTCCCTGTTAATAACAAACATGCTTCAGTGAAAGCTATCTTTCCCTTAAGGTAAAAAATATCTCACAAAAGCAGTATATAGAAGATACCTATCACATTCTTCAGCTGCGAATTGCCTGTGAACCACACTGCCTTGTTTTGCTTTTTGGAATGGCTTTACCAGAAGGCCATCTTCCTCTATTCTAAAGGTAGGTGGGAAAAAGGAAGAAAAGTTAGTCAAGAGCTTTCCATAAGCAATAGAATTTCCATATGCCAAACCTTCCACTAACTTGATTAACAAAAACTGTTATATTGCTAGTTTCTACATGAATGAAACAAAACTTCAGAACCAATATCAGCTTGGACTTTACCTCATTTGCAGAACAAAATCAGAAAGGCAATCACTTACAGTTAGCATTTAAAGGAAAATGCTTAAAACAGTCACTTCTAATATTTATTTTTATCAATACTATCACTATAGAACCACAATGAAAAACCTCCAAAGTTTCCGAAGTTTCACTCTACATTCTAAGTCCTCTACAAATCTCAGCTACAAATCTCAGCTACACAGCAAAGTAGGAACAGAAAGGACAGTGTGCTCACTGAATCAGAGTGACTGCTAATAACCCTATCCCACCCTTCCATGCCAATGGCCCATCACCCCATTAAACAGCTCTGCCTCTTGTAGTGCGATCACATGAATCACAAATTTAAAACTCAACTGCCATGTCGTGAACCATACTTGTTCTAAAACATAGAACTAAAAATACCTTAAGAATTCAACAAAGTAATAAAAAGTTAACTATAAAGAGATGCATTTTAGCTAGTAAAAGGTATATTTAGTTAGTTTCATTCATGAGTAGAGGTGAAGAAAAGATTTTTCCATAATCATCAGCTGACAGAAAGAATGGAAGTCAGAAACTTGAAGAAAGCAAGCCAGAGAATTTGTATTCCAAGTTATGGAATAGAAGTCTAGAAACTAAGGGCATCATTTGCTCAAAAGGATCTGTAAGCACAAAATTCCCATAAGGAGACTCCATAAAACAGTAATTTGGAAAAAATTTAAGACTACTATTTTCCTTAAAGTGAAAATAAATATCATCATAGAGCAAGAAGATATATACATAGAGTGAACCCACATAAGAGTCCTACTGGGAATCAGCAGTAGTGTGCCAGAACAAGGATAATGATGGTATTTTTGAAAGGCTCCTGATGGTTAGTTAATATTCCACCTCGAAAGTGGAAGGGTAGAATGTATAATGGCCTTCTAAAGAAAACAAAATCTGAACAAAACCAGTCACTGTTTTAATGGAGAACAGCTATATTTATAAAATAAATGAAACACCACAATGCCTGCTCTTATTCCAACGATTAAAACACGAAATTTTTTTCCCAGAATGCAGTCAGACACTACAAAATCCATTCTTTCAATTTTTCTACAAAGGAAAATATGCAAGCGACCTAGGAAAGTTTCCAGAAAGTCTTCTTAAATAAAGTCCAGTAAAAAGCAAGGGAGAGACAGGAAAAAAAAAAGTACATGCATAATGTAGGCAAAATGTTCAGTATGGTGCAGAAAGTGTCAAAGGACTACACTGCCAAAACAAAATAAATATATAAATAAATAAAAATCTTTACAATATAAGGAAATCAGACTACAAATTTCCAGGTCACTAATTGTGGGAACTACTGAAAGAATTAGCAAAAGTCATCTCAAATAAGAGATATGCAGTTACACTTCAAGGATTGAATACAATACAATTCACCAATTCCCAGGTCTCTTCACAAATTAAATAATAAAGAAGTAGCATTAGTTCTTCACTTTATATGTTTTATATCTACAAAGCCTGCTACCACTTGGCCTTTCTTGCCTTGCTCTCCTAGCAGTTCCATTTGTCCTGATGGATTCATAGTGAAGTGAACAGTGCTGCCAAATCCCAGCAGTGGATACTAATGCTTGGAAAAACGAAACACTCTGCTCCGAGAAGTGAGGAGGATATAGACAACAGATGGAGATGGCAGAACAGATCTCAATCAGCTACCCCTAGGAGATGACAAGCTTTGGCAAGCTTGACATGAGGAGATGCAGAAATCAAAGAGATTGATTTTTTCAAAAACCACTTCAACACCAGACTTTACATACAACAGCATCATCTTCTATGCACACTAAGAGGCCATTTGCACAAAATGTGTAGTGCAAAGTGTTAAGTCTATACTACATTACCTTTTAGTTTTTTGCAGAGACTTCTCTCCACTCTCCTCATCACTGAAATCAGAATCATAGCCTCCATGGCCGTGTGCCTGAAAATAATAGACCAGTCAATATATCTGCTAATGTAACATGGATATGGCATAATTACAAATTAGTACTGTCTATCATGTATAAATAAAAGAGAAAGACAGAGAGGAAGCAAAAAAGTGCAAATTCTCACATACTTCTAAATGAAGCCAAATTCAACAGACAATGCAGAGCATATTCCAAATAACACAGGGTAAAGAAAGACACTGTCAATCTGTCTAAAGATCCCTCTATAAATAATTTATATGCAGATGTCCCCATATTTAATCTTCGCATAGATGCAGAAAACCAAAAGTATGATAAATACCTTTGGATTTTAATTTCAATGTTCCTTATATAAGAAGAAGGCGAGTATTCTCCCCAGAAGCAAGTCTTCCAGGGGGCTGGAGGACAGCAACCAATATGCCCACATTATAAACAAAGAAAGATGAGAACAGAAGTTTCTTGGGCTGTGGTACAGCATTTTAGATCATTAGATCTTATACTGGTAACTGGAAATCTGATTGAAACTATAACTAAAATACAAACCAACAACATGCCTGCAAAAACATACCACCCAATCAGCACAACATTCCTACCAGGAAACGAAGTCTTTTTTTCCATAAACTTTGGGACTACAATGTCAAATTAATGCCTTCAGCAACCAAGCACTGACTGATGCCCAGATACATCACCTCCATTTTTCAAGGGACAACACTATGTTCAATTCCTTCGGCAGAAGCAATGGTTTAAGTAGATCCTATCTCCTCTCCCTCACTCTTACTCTGGTACCTTCCTTCCAGTTGCTCAGTTGCAGTTGTGAAACTGCACATGAATGAGACAAAATAACTCACCCAAGTTACAAAGGAACCTATCCAAAAAAGAGTATTTTAACTCAGGTCAGTTTGCTGACAGTTCATCCAGAGTCCCTGCAACCAGCTACACCAGCCAGCTGAAGGGGTAGCACAGGGAGAGTGCAGCCAGAGCTGGGAACTGCATAAACCAGCACAGACACCAAAAAACACTTTTACACAACTGAGGTAAAAACAAGAGGGAAGGTTATTACATATCTGCATGTGGAAAGGCTCAAACACACACTACCTAAGTATCTTGGTAATTCAGACTGTGAATGAGAAAAGAAACATATTTGATTCTTACATTACTTACAATCATACCCCTCCTTAGACAAAAAGCTGAGAAACACAAACTCTGCAAAAAAGACACATCTCTTCAGGATAGTTTTGATGAGGTGCCTTCTCTTGTCTACTGACCCCAACAATCGATTTGTATCATGCAGAGTATGTAAAACACTATCTTCTCAAACTGACAGTGAAGGATTGGGTTTAAGATTTTTTTAATTTTTTTTTTATTATTGCTAATAATAAACTAATACTGTAATGTTCCTTCCACTCTTGAACTCTTCTGAAGAACACATAGCTTGCATATACATATATATTTGAACAAAAGCAAACCAGAACTTTCTGATTTACCTTTATGCTTTCTATTTCCCAAGAAACAGAAAAATTATCAGTTACCAGACACACAAACAAACAAAAGTGCAGCAGATGTCAGTGGCTGTCATGCACTGGCAAAAGAGCAGCAATGGTACTAAGTTCCATAGCTGAGGTGGTTCTAATAGCCAGCCTACCACTACTTTTATTAACGAAGCTTATGTGGTCTTTAGAAAAGGCTGAATACTCTAAGAGTGTGCAGAAAATATATTTATTTTTGGTCTCTAAATTTAAAAAATATCATGGTAATCCGGGAATGTTTTAAATAGCAAAAGTAATGCTTCCCAGATGAACACGGAGCTTCCTTCACACTCAAAAGGGGAGAAGGTCCCAGCCAACACAATGAGCATGAAAGTCAACATGAGACAAAAGTAGTATAGAAAAAGGCCAAAAGAGGAAAGACCAAATGAAAGGAGATTTTCACTAAGTAGTTGACCTTGGATGATGGGGCCCAGGAAAGAAGTAGACATCCTCAGTAATCAGCTCTCAACTGATTCCAGGAATGATTAAAACAAAAAGAAAAAAAGACGCAAGAAAAGCTGGTCCAACAGAGTCATACTGTAGGCTCTCAGAAGTTGATGACTGCCTTTTGAAAAGTTAACTGTGAATATAAGGGCAAGTATGGCTAAGGCAGGCATAGGCTGCTCTTCTGACAGGAAAACTCCACAGCTTCAGACATTCCTCTGAATCACTACAATAGCTCACAGATAAATTCAGAGTGAAAAAGAATACAACCCGTGACTGACGTCCTGACACTTCTAGGTCACTCCTCCTTCGAAGGCAACAGCAGATGGGCAGGTACTGCACTGAAGCTGAGTTTGGCATCAGCAGCTCCAGCAGTGCCGGATGGCACTCTTGGAGACTGGGACTGAACAATTACTGACCTGATGCCTTAGGATGATATCAAGATGACCTGACTTTTAGGTAAAACATTTCATTAACTCCATCAAAGAATCGCATCCATAAATTAATCTTCCCATTTTGGAAGGACAATGTAAACACACACCTGCTTCATACTGTAAAATCTCATGACAGATTTCTTCCCTTCCCCACAAGAAAAAAAAACCCAGAGAACAATCCCAGATAAAGAAAATGTATTTAACTATAGTAAAAGAGGGGCAGATACCAAAGCTTTGTGCCCAAGCTAGCGGATGTAGACATGGGCATGCAAAATTGTCAACAATATTTTAAATAACTATGTTCACTATTTAATAAACCCTTTAATATAAATTTTGCTTTGATGGAATTTGTCAGAGACTCAGAATGTTTCTGGTAAATTATTAATGTAAATACCACGTGTTTTACCAAAACGCAAACCTGAAAGGTATGTAACTTAAATGGTACCGTGTATTTTGTCTGTTGCATCAACTCTGAACTTTTTATTCCCAAACAACAAAACAAACTGAAACCACAAAATTAAAACAAATACCAATATGTTCTGGGGTACATTTAGCTCACATTTAAGTAATCCCAACATCTTGGATTAACTAATAATGAAACAATCGGAGACAGAACAGAGTCCACTTAACTTAGGAGTCCTAAACCCCAGCAATTTAAATACAGTAAATAAATGAATGCTGTCCACAGCTGACAGCAGACATAGATACCAGCTCTTGATCTCAACATAGGACACTACAGATTCCCCAGCACTGCATTTATAGCAGGTATTTGCATCCAGAGAAGGCGTCTCTCTAATGAGGTAAATGCACACTAGTGAAATGGACACATCACAGTTCATGTCGGCTCCTGACCACAACATACAGCTGAACACAAAAAAGCGGTTAAAAAAGAAAAAAAAGTCAAAACAATCCTAGACAAAAATTCCCAACTCGTGGTTCCTGACCTCAGCCCTAATCTTGCTACTCCCGTCATAAGCGTCACTCTCATCCTTCCCTTTATCTGCCCAGCACACAGGTCTGTGCTCATGTCTGCTCACAGCCCAGATGTGGCCCGGAACAGGCCCGAGAGCTCGTTTTGATACAAACTACTCTGGGAAGGACTGAAGGGGATCTCTAGGGGGGCTTGACGAGCCATCCTGTCTGGATAAAGAGTGCCATGTGTAAAGTCAGAATGCTTCACCGTAACACACTCTTCCCACCCTGATGTCTATGAGGCTTTGTAGCCGCAACTTGGGGGGAAAAAACCTGAGAGAAAATTCAATTAGCTTCAAATTTACTCTTCCTTGTAGAATCAACTACAAGGAGTGCTTGCATATACTGTACAGTGAACGGCCCTGACAAAGAGAAAAGCACCCACAAGATACTGCCCCTTTATTAAAACTACGAAAGAAGAAGCAGGAGTAAAAGATAGGCATCAGAAGACCACGACAGCGAGGATTAGAATTTCGTGGAGCTCCACGGAGAAAAGTCACATCGAACGCCGGCCCGTGTGGGTCCGACGCGACTTTGAAGCTGTTCTCATGTCCTGGAAGCCGCCCAGTCCTCTCCCGGCCCGCCTGACTCGTCTCCCACCGCCGGAGCGGAGCACGGCCGCGAATCCCGGGCAGCCCGTCCGGGAAGGCGGCGCGGCCCTTCCCCGCCCGCCCCGGCCCCGCCGCCATGGAGGCCGCGGCCTCCGCCGGGCCTGTCCCTGCCGGGCCCCCTCCGTTCCTCCCCCTCCCTCCTGCCCCACTCACGGCCGCGGAGAGGCGCAGCTGGTTGGGCTCCATGGCGGCGGCGCGGCCAGGGCCACCTGCGCCGCCCGGCCCTGCTCCCGGAGCCGGCACCGCTCCGCGAGCCGCTCCCGGAAAGCGGGGCAGAGGCGGAGCGCGCCCGCGCCGGGGGCTCCCTTCCCTCCTCCCTCCCTCTCTCCGCGGCGGGCGGGCAGCGCGGGGCAGCGGGGCGCGGGGGAGGGCGAAAGCGAGCCGGCACGGGAGGGGAGGGGAAAGCCGCTCATCATGTTTAGGGGCGAGGGGAGTCTCCCTGCCCGGGAACCCGGTGCGCGGCCCCGGCTGCCGCGGTCTCCGCCTCTGGGAAGGTAGGATTCGGCCGCAGGGGCTCGGAGAGGTCTCGGCGCGCCCCTCTCCTCCTCGCCCCGGTTCGCCCCCGCACCACCCCCGGCGCTTTCGGGCAGGTCAGTCCCCACTACGGGGGGCACCGGTTCAGACCCGGCTGCGGGCACCGGGGCCCGGCGGAAAGGGTCCCTCGGGAGGGGTGGGGGAAGGGGGGGACGGCGTTCTGGAGGGGACCCCTGAGGGAGAAGGGGACGCCCCAGGGAGGAAGGGCCCCGGGAGGTGCTCCGCGGCGGGCAGCAGTTGCCAGGCGTGCCCGTGTCGTGCGGGAGGTGCGCGCTGCCCTCGGCGCGGCACAGCCTCGGCACGGCGTTCTGTAACTCCGATTCTGCTTTTCGATCGCATCTCGCAGCTAGAAGGACAAAATGTGACCCAGGACGTATGTGACCCAGTTTCTCTGTGAGGACCGACGGCAACTGGGCAATAGAGTTTTAGAGCCTGCGGGTTGTATCAGAGAGAGGAGCTTTATAAACTGAAAGTGTTTTCTGATAAGGTAGCTGGGAAGTACCAATCTTCAGCATTAAGTCATCAGATACAGCAAGTAGCTGTCAAAGAATGGTTAGTTTCCCATCAAACACAATACCTGAACCAGCATTTTGACTGCTGAGCTCTGAAATGCTTTAATCAATCCATCACAGATACTTTCTTCTGGACTGCATCAAAGTTTCCATTTGTGTTATTGATTTGGATTCTTAAACCACAGATACACTTAATACAGGGAAGTACTTAAAATACTACTGCTGTCCTTGCAGTATGCAGAGTGTAAAATACAAGTTATAGGTAGTTGCTGTTGCACAGTATGGTGATCACACACCATAGTTGACAGTGTACCTCTTTACCTTGGCTACCAAATCTCCCTTTTAAAAACAAAAGTATTTTTTCTACTGACCTAGTGTTTGTGTTACTCATTATGTTATTGCTGCAAAGGGATATAAAGGTGATGCTAAAGTGTCCCACAGAAAGGAACTGAGTGGGACTATGCTTATCTGAGTGTCTGCAGTATTCTGCTGAAGTCCTACTGAATGTGGCCCTTTTCCTCTAAAGGGCAGAGACTTGCAAAAATGGAATTCTCCTAATTAATAATTTAAATATCTCAAAATAAATAATGTATACCCTCAAAGCTGTAATAGCAGGCATCTTTTTGTTGTTCCTGTCTTATGGAAATGCCAGACTGCTTTAGTGTGAATGAATCCTGACATGATTCTGGAAAATGGGCCAACATATCATTGATTATGCACTTTGAAGAAGAGTGGGAAAGGTAGAGGAAAGATTTACAATTCTTGAATCTCTTGGCATTGTGTTGTGGCCACAAAAGCCTGCATATAGAAAAAACAAAGTTTCTGGGGCAGGAAAATTCTGCAGTGAGTCCAACTATAGCAACTGCTGTAGATGCTGAAGTTATTTTATAAACAGCTTTTCTCAGAATAGCGGCTAGATAATTTCATCTTGCTATGCTATGCTTTTCTGATATCTGACCGTGTTGCTTTCAAATATCACCCGATTGCTTTTTGTATATGGGCAACAGTAAGCTACAGCTGGGGAACTGGATCAGAAATGGCCTCCCAAATAAATTAGAAGTTGGAAGCAAACCTGTCCTTAGCCCCTGGTATGTGCATCATAGTTTGCTCCTGTGGGAGTATGTCCACAGTTTAAATCCAGCAACAGTATGCTTTGACACCAAGAAGGCACTTCTCCCATATGAGTCCCACAGGACTGGAAGATATGGGAAAAAGAAGAGAAGAGAGGGTCATAACTCTTTGCAGGGCAGGAGGTGCTATGGTTTTAAGTTGGTTAAATCATTGGTTCAATGATTGTACAACCAAACCTTAGAAGCACAGCTTTCCTTTACAGATAAATCAATCTATGGGTTAGCTGCCGCTGAAGAGAGCATTCCTCTTCTTGAAGTGGCCCTGGTGCTCATCTGACCACTTCTGCTGAACTGCAGTATTTAATTTTCTACCAACCTAGCTCCTGTGACTATCCTGCTGTGGTGTCTGAGTAATAGTGGTGGGGCAAAAAAAAGGTTAGGATGGAGGGATGGGACAGGAGTGAAGGAGGAGATGAGAAAAGAGTTGCCCTTTCAGCAGCAGCTCTCTATTAGATCACTTAGCAGTATGTGACACAATCGTCTTAAATTACAGTAGCCCTGAACTTCATGGTTCACAAAGGAGACATCACTGTAGTTTTTACTTTAGTCCTGCCCTAAATCTAGAATGAGCAAAGTGTATCCAAAAAGCTTAAGTCAGATGTGGTACATACATGGCAGATGCAGAATTCAAAGAATGCCAACATACTTACTGAGCTGTTCCTGAAAGCTTCCAGTATAGGAAAGTTCACAGCATAAATAGCTTAATCTATTAACCTCTTAGGTATAAAGGATTTTTTCCTACTATCTAAGAAAAATCTTCTTTGTTGCTACTTGAGATAATTTCTTAATGCCCTTCATTAGTTGATACAGGAAGCAAGAATTGATCATCATTTGAATAACAACTTTAAAAATTGGAAGACACATATGCCCACAGCCTTCCCTCTTTGCAGCCTAAGAAAGTACTTTAACCTTTCTATATTGGTTACATTTTGGAGAACTCTTATGTTCTATTGCTCTTCTTCAGACTCAGATTTCTCTATATATTTCTAAGAAACAAAAAGTATAGCTGTTTAGTCCTTAACAGTGTTTAGCCAGGAAGAAATACATCAGCCTTCCTGCAGAAGATCTTCTGATAAAGTTGTTTGAACTCAACAGCTTCTGATTTGTTGAATCAAAATTAGTTTGGTTAGCCAATTAAAACATTGGTCCAATTTTTAATGAAATAAATCAGGAGGCTTTGCCAGCAGGCCTGAAGAGGCAGCTACGACTGGTATGGAGAACAAGGACAAGACAGTCAAGCACATCCATTTTAAGAGCTGTTTGCAGGGGACATACCTGACTACATTTGAGTTTGATTATGAGACAGTAATGTGGAACGATCAAGAAGGCTAGTAAAATTGCAACCTGTCCTGTCTAACCTTTCCTTTTTTCTCCATTAAGTCAGTTATTTTGTTGACAAGTGAGGAAATTAGACTTTCTAAAATTATTTGATATTTGCACCTTCCTATCTTTTACATGTCTATGAAGTAAGTTGCCAAATCATTTATTTTCGTGTCTTCATAGTGCAAACAGTACCTCAGCATCTGTCATGTTCCTGATTTTTATCTCCTCCTATCTGAAGCCCCCTAGTAATTTGTAGAAAAGCAAGTAAAACTAAAAATGGACGTTCACATATGCCAGTATGTGCCATCACATTCAGTAAGTGTAGTTTTTCATTTAGATGTACCCGTGTACAAGTTCAGGGCTGCACTGTGCCTCCCAACAAGCCCTGAGGAAGGTGTACACTTCAGTCAGGCAGCTGACTCCCAAGCTTAAGACTTCCTGACAGTCAGGGAAAACAAGTGGGACTGTATAGGAGGAACAATGGCTCATGCTTACCAGTTCCCATCACTGGCACTGGTCACTCCAAACGGGTCATTAAAAGACTAGTCATTTTGTAATCATCTGGAGGTTACGTGGAGAGAACAGGCTGTTGCAATGCACGTTTATTTTGTCAAATTCAGTAAATGGCGTGTTCCACAATTTTTTGTCATACAAAGAATATCAGATGTGGAGCTTAACTAGCCACTAGATGTCAATGTTGCTGTGCTAAAAGGCAAATGCAGTTTTATTTGTTTGGCTGATAACGTAATTTATTCAAGAAAAGCACTTCTGTGTTTAAAGTTATTTCCAGTATAGAGTCAGGTACAAAAAATAATCAGAGGCAAACCCATGCTGTGTCCATTATTTCAAGATCAGCTGTGCAGCTATATGCTATTTTGAAGTTGCAATTACCATTTCAGTGTGTAATCATTGTTAGAAAAGTGCCTTTGGAAAAGCAGCATCTGATTTATCGTCAGTTTTCTTCCTAGTTCCAAAATCCCAGACCTTTGTATGAGTAATGAAAATCATTGTATTGCATTTTAGTTGTTAATAAGATAAAATAGAGTAGTAATATGATATCTAATCCTATTACAAGAGTATCAAATTTCCTAAATTCCAGCTATTGGTGGACATTTTCCTCTTAATTACTCCTGTTAAACATCATTGGATATCAATGTCAGATACATTGTGTGGGGACAGAATTTCTAGAACACTAGGACTTCCAATATGAAAAACATAGTTCTTTTGCAAAGAGAGCCAACAGATGATGGCATTTTACAAGGCCATATGAGGTAGAATTTGACCCGTGGACCTTTATTACTCCTGGCTCCAGGGATGAACAAATGAACAAATCACTGCCAGTCTCCACAACCACTTATTGCCTACTGCACTGAAGATGCTGGTTCTGTTGTCTGTCTACATAGCATTTTTTTTGAGACCAGAGAAATTAGTATTATAAACATTAATGAAAAGCTCAAGAAGAGAACAGTGCACATCTCAAATTCCAGATTAAGCTCATTCTGCTGTTTGGATAAAAACAAGTATCAAAGGATTTTATTAAAAATGAAGTTGAATCTTTCTGTTCATCTGAAAATCTCCCAAGAAGTCAAATATGAGGAAATTGCACCCTTATTCTCAGCTGATCAGTTTGGTAAATAGAATCCCAGTTTAGGCCACAATGTTAGAAAATACAGCCTAACCTGATTTATTCCATTTGCTCCATCTCCTACGACACAGATAAGGCCTTTCAACTTTACACACAATTCACAAAAAGTTTTTTTGTTATTGTTTGCAGAGGAGCAGCCTTAATCTTCATTATTATGGACTGAAGTAGTTTAAGTCCTTCTCAACAGTTTATTTGATGGTAGCATCACTTCCACTCTTAACATGCTAAAGAATCACGGATACACTACAGAAGAAATATAACTGTTTTAACTTCTAACATCTATTTTAATTTTCTAGACTATGACTACAGAGTTATGTAAGAGTCTTATAATAATATCTTGAAAACCAGATTGTTTCATTCATTCATTTTGTTGCAATTAAGGGAACACTTTGAGCATCAACTTTGATCCTAAAACTTCTGTGTACTTCAAAAATATCATTAAAATAAAGTTGTCTTCGAGCCCTTATTAAGATGTATAGTGTAAATAATACTAGTATGCTCCTGTAAAGATTGATTAAGTTATGGAAATAATAAATCAGACTTTCATAAACAAATGGTTCTTGGAAGCAACCTTCCATGTTATTTCTAAAGTTTGGGATTATTTTTGCAAAATGGAAAGAATTTTACTTGATAAATCCCCTAGAGATATATTATGTAGACTTCTGTCTAGTGTCCTTTAATTGTCACTGCTAGTGCCACATTTGTTGTGTGGCAGGTAATTTTGGTCTCCAGAGCTTACAGTCTGGCAGCTGTGCTGAGAACAAAGCTCACTAAAAGATTATTATGTAGGCATGCATGAACAAGGGTAGTGACTTCAGCCTGTCAGGAATTTAATTAAAAAGTAATTACCAAAATATACAAAATACTACTTCTTAGTTTTATCAACCTGCATTGAAATAGGTGGAATACAGAAACTAACTCCTCCACCGTGTTCCAGTTTTCCTTTGAGGAGATTTTAGAAGTTCATTATGCTTAAATTCCCTGAAGTATGAACAATTTCCTAAGAGAGCAAAGAATGCTTAATCTTACTTTTATGTCTAGATCTTCTATGGTGGAAAGTGACTGATGGCATTCAATTACATAAATACAAGAAAAAGGGAAATCTTTTCCAGTTTGATATCAGAGTTATTATATAAGATGAAAAATGATAGACAATAGTTAGCAAGAGAAGGAAAATATAGTAATATGGAAATAAAAAAACCCCAAACAACTGACAAACAAGCAATGTACTTGTTTTCTTTAAATTATATTGTTTCCCAATGGATTTTTTGGTGGCAATAAAAGAATATGTGAGCAAAATTACAGTCCATTGCACATTTAAACCATAGTGGAAACAATACACATTCTCTTGTTTCCTGACATGCATTTTTGTGCCTAATGTCTACCATGTATGTATATTCATAATATTCACTTATAGGAATTGAGGAAAAGTACAAATCATTGACAGTGAATGTTTGGAATCTAAAGTCTTCTATACAGAAGGGTGACCCACAAATCATGATCTTCTGAATCATGGAAGCAGTTTAGCACAATTTATGTACCTAGTATTCAGCATAACCTGGAAAAGAAAGGTGCTTCAAAGTCTGAGTCTAAGATAAAGTGTAATAGAGAAATAAGGTCTCATTCCTACATACATGTTCCAGAAAACACCTGTTTTTTTGGAGATATGTTTCCTCTTAATTTAGAAGTTGAGTTGTTAATACAGGAATCAAGAAGACCAGTCCTACAAACTGTATTATGCACCTGGTCAGACGTGTTCATCACAGTGTTTTCCAGTAGTTGACCTAAAGCTAAGAAAATATGTCAGAGATTATTTGCAGTATACCATGGTGTAGTCAATTGTTTGGAATCTCACAGACAAATTTTAAAAAATAAGGTATAAGAGCATAATATGATGTAATGATGACAGTCACTTCATCTTATTATATTAGTAGGATTACTTACTTAGTAAAGTAGTACAGTAGCTGCAAGCTGACAGCATCTATGTTGAGGTGATCAGTAGCTGATCCTTCAATGGAAACTCAAGGGTACAGGGATATAAAGAGGCTGCTCTGAGCAGTGAAGTAGGATGAATCGGTTAAAAATTCCTATTTCACAGTTTTTAATGAACATACTTTTAGAGTACTGCTGTGAGACCTCATTTAATTAATAATACCATTAGCCATTCTGCTAGAACTAACCTTTTATTAGTAAAAGTATACTACTGATTGCCGGGTTTTGGAAATAATAGGGATTATATTTCAAATTAAATACAATTTTGTGTTATTTAATCAGCAATATCATTCACACATAAAGTACTGAAATACTATCAACCTTTCTATTGAAAGTATTGCCAGAATACTATTCATTCCATGGCACCTAAGTGGAATGGGAAAGATAACTATCTTAAATGGGAATAATTAGTCTAACTTAGTTACAAATATCAAGTTTTGTTATATAGCCAGCAACACTGAGCTGTGCAATACCCACAACTCTAGAAGTGAAAATGGCAGACTCAAAAAAACACCGAGGAAAGTATCTATGGCAAGTAAAAAGAAATATTCCTGCTTGCACCCTGGGGGAGATCGTGCTGCTTGCTGAAGCCACATTCAATTTGCAAGTCAAAACATTAACAGTTTCATATGTGGATGACTGCCTTTCTTGAATGGAAATAAAACATAACCACATGGAAGATAAGGGTCAGGATGTGAAGTGGGATTTGAGTGAAAAAACATTTCCTTTAGCATTTCATTACATCTTCTCGCAAGTTTGCATTACACTGGCCTCAAATACACCATTCTTAAGAGATGGATTGTGTTATTTAAAGTTATGTTAGGATCTGGTTTAATATATTTTAACAATCTTCAGTAAATCCATGCCGCTCTTTCCCTGTACAACTTTTATTTGAACCTCAGCCTTAACAGGGTTGGTATTTGGCAGGTTTCTATAATATGAGTCTGTTAACAACAGGAAAATACTATTCTAACCACCTCGTTTATCTTAGATGTGGTCATAATCCAACCACAAGTTTTAAGAGCTAGAAAAATTGGTCTTTCGAGATGAAACATTGAATTTAGTTTCTAATACAGATCTCCTGAAGCATAATCTTTATCATATGCTTTTCTGTTGAGTTTCAACTTTTCATTGTAATTTTCTAAAAATCACTAAATTTTTAAAAAATTTAATGTGGCTGAGGAAGTTTAAGATATTCTGTATACAGACATGAACCTGTTTTATTACATGTTTGGGAGCTAATGTATACTGTGGAACGAAACGCCCATATTTCTATGCAGGAGTTACTTTAATGGCCAATATTTTGCCATCCATTATTTCTTGAAACTTACCCTTTAATTCATGTATCTTACCTTCACATTCAAGATCAGATTGTTATACTTTGAAAGGATTTTACTACATTATGAAAGAAAAGTAAGTTTTATTATGATACTTGCTTATCTCCATTAATCCAATCTTTACTATCCTGAAAGGATGCAAACACTGATATTCTCCTAACATAGAAAAATTATTTCTAAAAGCTGGAAAACATTTTATGATGCCTTTAGTTGCAGAATATAGAGATAAATATATTCTGGAAAGAGTCCTCAAAACTTCTACATGTCCAAGCTTGGTAAAATAAAATCTTTCCTATGATTCCAAACCTTTTCTTAGACAAATTTTGTAAATGAAGGGTTAATAATCTTAAGTCAAATGACACTTAACTATTGCAGACTTCACTGTTTTATGCAGTAAATGAGTTGGAAGGTTATGTACAAGCATTTTTTCACTTGCACTATCCATTAAATTGTAGACAGGAAGGTACCTTCCAAAATTAACATTAGCTTTGTCAGTATTGTCACAGGACACATGGCCAGAAGTTCAAAACAATAGCAGTTGTTGTAGTACAATTTTTAATGCCATTTCATTGCTTTCTTGAAAGTAATCAAGTAAATGATGAATTGTCATCCTTTCCACTCTATAGTGAGAAGACTATTGAAGCATTTTGATATTTTCTTACTTGAAGACATCAATGCCTGCAGAAAAATATGCCCATACAACAGACTATTAAATTGTTTTCCTAGTTAAAAAGAAGCTAATGTGCCATTAATATATGAAGGTACTGTTGTACTGTGGTCTAACACTACAGTATGAAATACAAAGCCTTAAACTTGCGATGACATCCAGGATTTGTATGGATTTGCAGTTCAGTGCAGTCTGAAAAACAACACAGATACCCCAACCTCAGAGCCCGAGAGTCTTTATGAAAGGGCATCACAGCCCTGGTCACAGCTGCCTGTCAGCTGCATCCACACGGATCCTCCATGTCCTCGGCAAAGAGGGATTTAGCTGTCTTTGGAACATCACTCATTTGGAATCTATAGCAACCCTTCTCTAATATGCGAAGCTATTTTTAGCATCAGGGCAGCCTTGAAAACAGCAGGTAAAGCATGAAAAGAATGAATAAGTGGTTGTGGTGCTCGCCTGTGAATAGAAGCTATATATAGCTCTTGAGAGAGATCTTAATATATATAATGTGTATGTGAAGGGGCATCTGCCTCCCTGAGGGGAGGCAGGGGCATCAGAATATACAGCATTATTACTACTCCTGACCTGATCAGTTATCTAAAAAGTTACTATTTCCAGTTGTTCTGTTCAGGAAAATAAATTGTTGATGGAATCAGGTATCTTTGATTCAGTCTTTACTTGCAAAGAATGTATAGCCTTCATTTCCCTGAATGAAGAGCAAATTGAACAGCAGGAGACTATTTGCAGCTCCAAGCTCTTTTCAGCCAATACTTGCTCCGAGAAGTTCTCTAGAGACATTTCTCAAGACCCCCTCTCCATGTCTGGAGGCCAAAATCTGTGATGTCTCTTGAGTTCCCACTCCTGGTTTTTTGCTCTTCTCTCTTTGCTTCTAAAAAAAATTCTTAGGAAAAAATGCCACATGTGCCTTTGTTTAATCAGTAGTGTGTGCCATTTATTTAGCTGGGGAGCTATATTGCTTCATTGAGGAGTTTATTACTTCTTACTAATGCCTTATATTGAGGCTGGGAATTAGGCCCTCCAGTTTTAATGACTCTTGCCTAAATCACAAGGGGAGCAACAGTGGAAACTTACAGTTGCCTACAAGTGATTGGTGTCTAAAAAAAAAGTCAGCTGTATGGTGTTTGGATTGTTATCTTAGAAAAGTGATAATTAGGAAGCATTTTGAACTCAAAATGTGAATGTTACTATACTCAAGGTAGGGAAAATCCTTTAGCTTCTGAGCAGTCATAAATAAAACATGTATTTCTCTGCTGCTATGAAAATTATATTTAAAACTACAGACAGTTCTTAGATAAAGATGCTGTATTGGTTTTGTTCTCCCACTGCAGAGGGAGAGGGCCAGCAGCCAAAAGAGCATCTTTTCTTAAAGCTGTACTGAGTAAATAGCATGTTGGCATATGAGCAAACAGATGTGATGGACTTCTTCTGCCCTCCAGAGTCTCCTCTGCTGGGGGATGTGGTTCATAAGGAGAAGGGAAATTCAGCTTGGTGCAGTATCTTATTCGATGGAGAATCTGTGCTGGGCTTATGCAGTGGCAGCGTGCCTGCCATGGTGTAGGGTGGGGTGTCAGGCAGATCTGGCATTTGCTTGAGGTAGCAAGGATTAACTCTTACTGAATAAGGTGTTTTTCCAAATTTCTTGCATTGTTAAGAACAATAAAAACATCAGTAAAATATTTATGGAGCTATTACCAACAACCCCTGAAAATGTTTCAGCGCTGATCCAAATCCCTGCTTTGTAAAGCATTTTGATTAGCAATGATGAAACAATAATATGTGTTTGATGAGGCATGTCCTTCTTATTGTGCAATTTATTATGTCAGTGGCACTCCAGCAAGGCTTTTACTCGAACTATTTCAGTGACTTCAGTGGCACTAAGATTTCTTTCATTTTGAATTATTCAGTATGTAAAAACCTTGTGTTTTTAACAAGTAAAGACTCTCCTCTAAAGCCTGTTGTCTCTGCGATGTTACAAATAAATTTCCCATGTACATTTAAATAAATAATATTTTGTTACTTTTTTTCTGTCTGCAAAATGACAAGGAAAACTAAAGACAAGTTTATAAAGATTAGATTAATTCTTCAGGGAACCAATGCCATGAAAAAAGTACAGAAGGGCATGTAAGATAGCACAGGTCAAAGAAAGGATTTTGTAACATGCCGTCTGTTTTTAATTAGCTTCTTGACAAACTGGAAGAGTTCAAACATTTTTCCATGAAGAAATGTATCACAGACTTTTCTAGCTGCCAATTAAATGGCATTTAGCTACAGTGACAGTAGTATGTTGTTTTGGGTCTGTAGAAAGCACTTGCTCATGCTAGAAAATCTGGGACATTTTGTTTTGGATACAGGGTTCCTACTGGACTGGATTTTCTATCCCTCTTATGCCTCCTTCTGTAGGCATGAAGGATACCTTCTATGAATAATCTATGAATAACTAATAAACTAAGAAATAGTGCAAGGAGCTGGCAGAGATCATAATTATCAAGTGTCAGTTTGTATACACCTGTTGAAAGTCTGTCCTCTGATCAGATAATCATGTTTAAGCTATGCTAGCTAAATACTAGGGCATTTTATGACGTTCCTTTTTTGTCCATTTTTGGTACAGACTGAGGTACTTTGTCACCAGTTCTGTTTTATGGTTCATTTAAATGTTTGTGAGCATTTGTAACATGGAACTGCCCCTCAAGAGTGTGGCTCCCTATACATTTTTTCTAACTATGAAACCAGTGCTCTCTGCCCACTTCAGCTGCTTGTTCTGGCTCTAGCAATTTTTTTTTTTCGGAAAGACTTGGGCTTGTTTAGGGTTTGATTTGTTTTCTTGTTCTTTTACCAAATCATTTATTTAATCCAGTTTAGAGAATAGCATTGGAGCCAGAAACACCAGTAGTGAGCTGTGGAAGAGAGCAGAATCAAGAGTACTTGGAAGAGTGGGTAAGAGAGAAACCATCCCATTAAGGAAAGGATTGCACAGAAGTACATTCTTAAAATCACCACGCCTGTTTCTTCAAAAGTCATGAGACCATTTCCAATTATAAATCAAGCATAGATTCTCTCAGTAGTACCATGTTTTTAGTGTCTCATCTAGCTATGTAGGGGGGAGAAAGGCAAAAAAGTAACTTACATATTTGAACAAGACTTTTCCTCCCTGAGAGGTTCATATAGAGGCCACTTACAGTAGGATGTATGCTATGTGATGAATGTGATGCTGGTTCCATTGAAGTGGATGGGTATGTTGTCTGTCTCACAAGTGTCCCCATTTTCAATATGTGAGAAGTTGATCTTCCCTGAGTATAAATCAACTACAAGCAAATCTTCTTGGAAGTTTTCTTGAAAGATTGAAAAAATGCAGATTTCTGCACCAAGTGGAAACCTAGTGTTCTTTTATATTGTTTCTTTTCTTATACTTCCCCCTGTATTAGGTGCGGTCTCAGTTCCTGCTGTGAACCATGAAGTAGCACAGCTTCACACACCTTTGAATTGGGCTCTGCTTTGCTCTTGAGCTTGTATGTTTGGTCTTTCACTTCCCCCCCAGCTCTAAATATCCATTGTTAGGATTTTCAAGGCAAAACAGAGACAACAGAAGCAAAGCAAGAAGGATTTCTTTAGGTCTAGAGAAAAATGACTGGTAATCAGGACAGCAGTTAACTTCATGCTACTGGATTGTGTGCTGCAAAGCACACTGCTTTGTAACAGAGTTTAGGAGCCTTTCTGAAACGTGAGAAAGCAACTGGTCCCAGTCTGCTGGGAAACAGAATGCAGGATCTAGGGAAGAGCTGAGGAATCCTAGCTCTGGGATTTATATAGTGGCCCAATTTTATTTTGAAGAGCAGGAATAGAGACCCCCAGGAGAAACTGGGGGTCAATACATTACCAGATCAATAAGACTTGTTCTCATGGTGAAGGGCCAGTCCAGTAGAGACTATGTACATGATCTGACCTGAAAGACAGTTAATGGGATTTTCTGTTTGATAGTTTTGTTCTTTTTCTTTACTTACATAAGCTAAAGCTACCAAGTTATGACACTGATTTGCCTGCACTGGAAGACAGACCAGCATGTAACAGGCATCTCACAGAATGTGTAAACCCACTTAACATTAGCAGTATTGTCAACATCAGCTGTTCAAAGATGATGGATTAGGTTTTTAAAATTTTGTGACACTGGCTTAAAAGCCATGTGATGTCAAAATACATTACATTTTGGATACTTCCTATCTAGCTTCTTAGCCTTTATCCCTCTTGGTTACCCAGGAGGTTGGATGAGGCATTCTCCCAGGGTCCCTCTCAGCCTGAGAGAGCCTTTCAAAAATCGCAAAGGGTAGAAATCCCATATCTTTAAAGTGTCTTCTGAGGCAATTTCTAATATTTTCTATTATTTAAAAGCCTACAATTGAAAAGGAAACGTCAAGAATCATAAAGATGTTGAAGGTCCTTGGTTGCAACAAAATAAAACCTAAACATAGATTAATTTTGCCTGGCTTCTCTTTGAATGAAATACATTGTGCATCTGTTTTTCTTAAAGAGAGATCATTCAGATACCACTACATCTTGTCTGACATACTTTTTGTCATCAGTCAAATTATGGTGTACCTAAGCCAGCGAGCAGTTCTGGAGACCCCTTCACACTCACCAGGTTATGCTCAGTGGAGTAGGTGTTCTACATCACTATGCAGTTTTGTCCATGAGAACTAAGACCTGACTGACATCAGAGGTGATCACTTCCAACTCCATGGCGAACTGTGAACTGACTACTTTATGCAAGGGAAGGAAGACCACCCTCCAAGTTTTTCTTTCCTCCAAAGCTGGCAGCAATTAAGTAGCCATTTCCTCAGCTTTTTGGCGCAGGGACTGGCCTGGTTGTCCTGCTTTTAAGGAAACTCTGTTGGTATAATAAAGAAGGATACCCATAATACAAACCTGTATAGACAGGATAGGGCAAAGTCATCAGAATTTTCCAAATAAAAAGTTTTGGGCAGCCCTGTGATCATTCCCATAGCTCATCTGTGCAATGAGCTGTTGTAAAGGCATCTCGAGTTTTATGCCTAACCTGCAGAAGGCCTCTTCCTGGCAATGGCTCTTGGTGCCAGATCCACCAGGAAGCATAGTCTTTTCAGAACTGTTTAGAATTCACAAGACTTAGTTTTGTTTATTGAAAGTACAGCCTCATTCTCAGCTGCTTTAAATTTGCCGTTTGCTACAGAATTTGTTAAAAGGGTGGCACTGAGAGAGCAAAAAACTGAGACTCATGTTTGTAGGAGTCTTTGATCTCAAAATCCTTCTGCTCCAAACACAGTGGTAACATAGCAATAACAATGTTTTGCTCTTTAGGAGATCCTTGAATACTGGGTGTGATTCAGACTATTGCCCATCTGTGTGGTGTAATATTATGGGCTGAACACCAAGCACAGTAAAATTCACTAAAGTCTCATCATTATCATCATCAATGGGTTTTGGATTAGGCTACATATGTGCAGGCAGCTCCTCCTGAGCAGAAAAAAAGGCAACACAGTTTTCTAAAAGCAGGATGAAATTAAGGACAACTCTAACAGTATATGTATCTGCAAAGGGAAATGTACTGAGCATGAAACCACAGGAAGCTTATTCAAATTTTGTAGTATGTTGGTAATAAAAACATATTGGTCTAATACAAATATGCAAATATAGTCATTGGAACAGAGTTTATCTCTCAAAAATATTAAATATTTTTTTAAATAATTTTTGGTTCTATGTTCTGAACATTTGTGTTTGCTTTCCTCAAATATTGTAGCAAACAGGTTTACGTGTAGAAGTATTCACATTTTAACCAGATATTGGAGAACACTTGCTAAAAATGTATGCTTAGTAAATATTAATAATAATAAATGCATATTTTTGCTCTAGAAACCAAGCCACAGAAGTTGTGGTAACACTGCCTGGAACACAGGCAGTGGTGGGTGGTGAATACCTCTAGTGAGAGCAAGCAAAAGTAGCTTTAATTTTTACTGTCAAATACCTGCACCAGGCTTGTTACTAGATGGTTGATTATCATCAAAAAATGTTGTTATCAGACCATTTGGATACACTGGAAGAAACAAGCTGTTTGATACCACGTAGAGAGCCACCGCGTGGGGAACGATGGGTCACTAGGGCGTAGTTGGCTCAACACCGAAGAGGCGAAATATATCGGCAGAGTCGTGCAGAAGCACCGGGGCCACCCGGCTTGGGGCCGGGCGAGCCCTTCCTTGTTGCAGCGAGGGCTGACATCGCGGGGGCCCCGGCGGTGAGGGGCGGCCGCGGCGCTCCCTCAGGCCCTTCGGCCGAGGCCGCGGCTCGGCGGGCGCCGCCTGGGCCCCGGGTTGCCGGGATACGGGGCCGCGGCGGAGCGGCGGAGCAGGGCCCGTGCCGGGCCTCAGGCAGGGTCCCCCTGGCCGTCCCGGAACATGCCCGCCCGCCGGCCCCCTCCGCCGCACCGCAAGGTGCGGGTTTTTCGGCCAGAACGTCAAGTGATGGGAAGCAGACCGAGGAACGCATCCACAACTCCCTCATCCCCCCTGCTGGAACCTTGCTGAAAGAAAAATAGATGAATTTTGAATCCATTATGCCTACTCAGTACCTGAAACACCCGGAAAGACAGGCAGAGAGCGAGAGCCAGGCGCTGGTCCGTGGGCACAGCAGGCCACTGCCTGCTCCGCTGGCCAGCAAACAAACAGCGATGGCATTGCAAAGGGTGAGCCAAGTGTCGCTGGGGCTGGGGAGAAGCTGTGCCACTGGAAATCCACAAACCAATGTGGTTTTAAACTACCACATGGCAAGAAATGAGATGCTGAGCTTGGCAGAAAAGGCCCCTGGAAAATTATGCCTGTCTTTTGATGGAGCTGTTATTCATAACATTTGCAATTTTGGAAAAAGCGGTTGTTTTGGCATGTAGCTTGGAATAGAAAACTAACTTCCAGGCGGTTCTCGGCATGGACAAAATCAGAGTCAGGTTACTGCTCTGCTGCAGAATGTGCTTTTGTTACTGAAAAAAGGGCTACACTGCAAAGTTTTCAGGAGGTTCGCAATGTGGTCAGAGTATTAACTAAAGAGAAATGCTTAGGTAATTGATGGTGGATTTCAGTGAATGAGCCAAAGGAAATAAAACACGGGGTTTCACCATCAATGGCAAAATATTGCCATGGCAATGGGTAGCTTTGCCAGGAATAAACAAACAAACAACAACAGGCCTCTTCTCTTTCAGAAAAAAAAGTTAGAGAATTTTCTGTTCTTACCTCAGCAAGTCTGTGCCATTGGACATCTGGGAGGGGAGAAGATGGTGTACCCTACTTATGCAAGTCCCACAAATCCAGCTCCCTTCTCAGTTATACAATTAGATCATTTCCAGAGCAAGAAGGAACCTTTATATGCAGGGAAAGGCATTGACATTTGCTTAATAATTATTTCAGTGCTTTGGTTACTGTAATTCTGTACCATTTTCTTACAGAAGGTGGAAGGGCTCAAAAATAACACAGGTTTCTGTCATTCTTAGATGAAGTCAGTTCTGCTTCAGGAGAATTGCTGATTGCTGACAGGGAAGATTTTCTTAAGAGCAAAAACATGGGCCCTCACTTAAATTAATAAAGAGCTTTATAAAAACACAACACAGACAGTGAGGGAGCTGAGAAAGCACGAGCTGCCCTTTCTTCCACAGGCACGGATGCCTGGCGGGAAGCCACGCACAGGCACTGCAGTCCTCTCCCAGCAGGGCCTTTGAAGGTGGCCGTCTGCTTCTGAAAGCTTTCTGGACATTTTTGGCTGCACCCAGTCCCTCAGAGGATGCAGCCCCACCACCTGGTGTGAGCTCTGTGCACCTCCTCTCATCCCAGGCCGACAGACACTGCCCAGTCAAGGATTCAGCAATGTTGGGGGTCCTGCCTTGTATCCATACACTGAGTTTCTTGCAGTTTTGTAGGCTGTTGTTCCCCTTTGCCATATGCACCCATAGCATATCAAATTCCTGCTGGGCACACATATCTGGATATGCACTAGGGCCTTGCTGACATTGTTCCTGAGGAAGACAGACATGGCCCAGTGTTGATCTTGAGATTTCATGGCCTGTAGAGCAGGAGTAATGGGCCAGAGCCAGGTGGCCCCTGTAGAATCAAGGGAGAGGTAACCAGAAGTGTAGAGAGATCTTATCAGGAGATGAAGCATCTCCTGGTGAGGAGACAGCATCTATGTGAGCCTGACTGTGTTAAATGTCTGGACCACTGGGTTGACTCTAGTAGGCTTTGTGAGCTGTGTAATGTCAACAGTCCTACAGAGAAGTGTTAAGACCCGTTAGAGTTTGCAAAACTCTTCTAATAGCAATCCTATATTGAAAACAAAAAATTATCCCATATGGCTTTCCAGCCATTTGGCATTCATTAGTTTTGTCTTACCATTCTTAATATAATAACACTTAGGTGCTGCTTAAGTTCCCTATGAAATATTTATTGTAGTTTACTGTAAAGTGGTCAAACTGAGAACTGTGTCTTACAGGGTACTCATACCCCACCTTGCACTCATTTCAATTGCAGCCTTCAGGCAGTATTGTAAAGATTCATCATTACCACCAAGATCCTTCCCTATCCTGTCACTTTTCAAAGAAGGTCCATTCTTAACTACACGTTTAACATAACTGGTGTTTAAATAACAATTTTCGTTTTTTCCATCTAAAATGGTCAAAACAGTTTCCAAGCAAATAAATATTTTAACTTGAACTTCAAATTAATGTTGTCCATATTGAGCTGTGCTTGATCCACTTTATTTAACCAGCGCAGGAAACATGTAACAAATAAGAAGGGTTCTTTTAAAAAAAAAGGAAAAAAAAGGCAAAAAAAAAAAGCTGCAGTTACTTGGGGTCTTATTTTGCGTGAGAAAATATTTTGTTTAGGAATGACAGTCATAGGCATTCTCTCATACATTGTAATATTTTCCATGTGTGGCAGCTTGTTTTTCAGTGGTATAAATATGTGCAATAAGGGCTAAGGATAAAAATTAATCTAACAGCTTCTGCAGCAATGCTTTTGATGGTTTCACTCGATTTCATTTTCCTGTGGATACTGCCGTTAGTTCTGCTGCTTGAAATATGTGAAGCATAATTCTGAAAGGTTCACGAGGTTGTAGGGATCCAGTAAGAGATGACTGATTTCTCCCCCACACACATACACTCCACCCCACACCCACTCACCCACCCACCAGCAAAACATAATGCTGTACTATTTTTGGTAACAGGGAAAGGGCCTCCCTGTGAAAACAGAAAGCAGTGTATTTCTCAGTTACATCACTTTGCAATCTAATGCCGTGTTGTGCTCAGTGTTTTTGTGGTGATGCAAGTCTTTTTTTTTTTTCCTTCCTTTTTTTTTCCCTTCAGCCGGTTGGATTTTCCCCATCTTACAGCACCTCGCAGGTCTCTTCTCTGAGCAGTACGTTGCCTGAGTGAGTGGAAACATACAGATCAGCTGCAGGTTTCTGTCTACAAAAACAGAGTGAAAGAGAAAGAAAAGGGTTGGGAAAGCAGAGACAAATATTGACCTGGACTTATAGAAAGACATCCAATGGCTGAATAAAGAACCCTGTTCATGTTTTGGGATATTCTTTCAACTGGCTGGAACGAGAGCGGATCAAAAGAATGGGAAATGCCAGCAGACCCTTTAGAAGAATTGCTTATTTCTTATGCCTTTTATCTGTGCTTTTGCTGACTGAAGGGAAGAAACCAGTGAAGCCAAAATGTCCTGCCTGGTGTACTTGTACCAAAGATAATGCTTTATGTGAAAATGCCAGATCTATTCCTCGCAGCGTTCCGCCTGATGTTATCTCACTGTAAGGGCTGTAAGCATTTGGTTATTTAATTTATGATTTAAAATGAACTAGAATGTGTGGTGTTTTCAGTGCATACAGAAGGATGCTTGCTGCAGGGAGTACCTCCAGCATTCAGAATCATCAGCTAATGTGTTAAAATTGTGTTGCATCTTTGAATCCTGATTTTTATATCTCTTTCATCTGTCTGTCTGTGTATGTGCACACATCTCATTTTATACCTTCTTCTGTACTACATGAAACCTGCAACATTATTTTTTGAGGGGGAGTATTTTTTAACTAATATAAAAAGATTTCTCTGTGATGACCAGATCAGTATTATAACCATGGATATATGATGCTACATTAATATATGGTTGTTTTTTTCTTCTTTACAGATCCTTTGTGAGATCTGCTTTTACTAAAATCCCAGAAGGGAGTTTTTTGCTCACACCATCTCTGCAGCTTCTGTGAGAAATATTTATATGATACAATTTTTGTTATGAAATGTATATGTATTCATAAATATTTTAGAAAGGGTCTCAGTATTAATTTTATAGGAAACATCAGCAGAAGATTCATTAGATGATAAAATACAAGACTTTTTAGCAATCTGAAAGTGCATGTTTAATTTTTTCAAAGTGTTTCTACTTAGTATTTTGCAAGGCTATCTGTTGTCAGTGCTACTTGGAATTATTACATGCTGAAGCTTTTGGTGACAGAATGTTTGTTATCTTCATTATACTTTAATTAACATCATAGTAGGGACTTGAGCATTGCAACAACTACTCTTGTTTCTTTTCTGCAGTCCTGGGACCTGCTCCCAGTATAAAGCTCTCCATTTGTAACTCCCATAGACTGAGCTCAGAACCCCTCAGATCAGGTCCCTCATTGCAGTGGGACAGATCCTGAGGTCCTTTTCCATGTAAAATTGCCATTGACTTCTGTGGAAGTTTAGTCACTTCAGTGGGAGTTTTGCCTTCATAGCACCTGGATTTGAACCTGTTTGTTATTTCATGCCTAAAAGTAATGAAGATTTTCTTCCAATTAAAAAAATTAAAACAGCTATTTCAAAATCAAATACTGCAATGAGGTATACACAGAAAAAGAATATTTTGGGATGTTTAACTATTAGCTGCATTTCAACATAGGATTTTTACAGGCTTACAAGCTTTCCTAGAAATGTGGGCATATGATTATGTAATTGTGAGCTATACAGAGGTAGAGGGGGTGTAACCTGAACTGTTTATAGTGGATGTGCTGCCAGGCTGACACACACCCAGATTTGTCTCAGAAATCCGGCAAGACAGACTCCCCGATGTGATCAAAATCAAAATCGGATGTCTGTCCCAAGCTGACTTCCTGTGCACTCTGGATGTGGTCAGAGGTGTAATGTTGATGTATTGCAGCCCTATGACTGTTAAATTAAACGGCTGGCATACCAATAGCTGAAGCCCTGACCCTGGCTGTACTCTGCTACCTCAAGTGGAGCTGATAAGGAGGTGCAGACATACTGTACAATTTTGGATACAGGGTAAATAGGTAAATGCAGTTACTATGGAAACCTAAATGCTTTTCCATGGTGCTTTATTCCAGAGAATCTTTTCTCAGTTGGTCACAAATCACAAAAGGGACACATTTCACATAATTCCTGCAATGGGCCTTTCAAAGGAGAAGAAAAAAAAAAGCAGCAGCATTGGTGGAGCTTGTGTCTGAAGGGAGTGAGTAGGACATCGTCTCTCTTGGCTACGATACGCCACCTACACTTGGCGATGCCACAGCCAGGCAGGCAGCACTGGGTAGGGTGGAGTAGGACAGACACAGTCATCTTATTTTGAGTTATTATAGTGCCTGGCACAGTGGGGTCTGGCAACGGCTTTATGGCCTTTTGGTAATAATAATAATTTCCATTTCTGCCGTACGGTGAAACGCACGTTCTACACTGGTGTCCGTAAATGCTGCAACAAAACCTGTGACCCCAGAAAAGCAGTTTTTGTTCCACTATGGGCTCTGATGAGTGATCTGGTTTCCAGATATATTTCTAATATGGTAGTTGAGCTGCTTGCCATCTTTGAAATGTCAGGCTGCTGATCTAAGGCTAATGACTCCTTAACACAGACCATAGGAGCAGGATTGTATCTGTGGGGACAATACTCCAGTTTGTATATGAGAAAGAAAAATTTTTATCTTTGGCAGAAGATAGTAAGGGAAATAAAAATATAGAAAACTCAGGTTAATTAAAAATTACAGTAAGTTTTAGCTTTGCATGATTATAGCTGTTTTTGTGCTTTAATTTAGCCAACAGCAAGATTTAGAAGCCTGTATGTATTTCTATATTAATAGAAATACATATAGAAATAGTACTAGTCTCCAGCACTACATTTTTGAAGTCCAAATGTAATTTGGTATCTCCAGTGCACCAGTCTAAATATGGAATATGTCTGCTGCTATTCTTATTTACTACTATTTTTAATGTAGTAGCGGCAATGGTCTCTGAAAAAATCATGGTCTCATGCTAAACACTACTTGTAACTCCCAGGTCAGGAGAGCTTTTCTTCTTGTGTAGTATGGATGGTATGCTCTGTGCTCTTCATGTGACAACAAAAGTACGAAGAACCTACACAACTACCGTGAAGTGCCAGCAGGAGTCTTTCCTAAATATAGAGAAAATCTCCCTGCTCTCATCTTCAGCACTTGTATCTCTGTGTATCAGCAACGTGCTGAGAGTGCCCTTATAAACTGGTGACATGAAAACCCATAGAAAGAAGGGAGGCAATCATGGCACCAGGATTCGTACCTGCTATCACTGTACAGTTCCTGCTAAGCCATATAATCCCTGGTTACAGTGCAGTGTCTTCAGTCTCTGTCCCCAGAAGTAGTTGGCTGGTGGGTCTCAGATCAAGCAATCTGGTGTTTGAGGTCAGAGGGTGGGAGAAAAACCACTTGGTGCATCAAATACGTGTGACACAGTCACTGGGGAGAGGTATGAGACGGGAGGCAAATGAGCTCACCAAGTGCAAGACCTATGCTATAAGCCTGGCAATCTCTACCCTACCTATACTGTTTAAAGAGATACCACCCTGTTCTTTAAATTATACACTAGAGTACATAAAAGGAAGAATTATCCAGTGAAATCACATCAGAAAAGTAAAATTAGTTGCAGGATTTACTAAATTTGTCTTTTGGTTCAGAGATTTTACAAAAATACTTATTTTCTCTAAATTTGAAGTATTTCTTATTTCTGACAATAAGAAAGAATTTCCTGCTTATAATTTTTCATACAATTCATAAAGGAACACACTTAAAGTGCAAAAAACATATTCTGTAATAGCCAAGTGAGAAAATAAATCAACTGCAATTTTGTCTTAATGAAAACTTCAAAATAAGAGATGAACTCATTAAGTGGATGAATTTGTACTTGGAAATCTTTCATTCCTGAATGTCTAAGGATGTCATAGCATGAATCTATTTATCCATCAGGTCCAACTGATTAAAATATAGATGTGCGTCAAGAATTCCACTGGGGTAAAGTTCACCGTAGTTGATGATGTCTCACCATATTAAATCTGTGGCAGTCCAGAGCTGAATTAAAATGGACAAATGCAAACATGGCTGATAAGCATAAATAATACTGGCAAAATCAATGCTAGTGCACTTTTAATACTTACACAATTACATAAAATTAAATTTTTACTGTTAGATGCACACACTAAGAGCTATCTCCAGAAGGTACAACCTGGTCTTAAAAATAATTCTGATTTGAACACTGCCTAAATGAAGAGATTTTCCTTTTTTTTTTCTCAGTAACTTCTCAGTACCCTCAGGTTAAATAAGTTTACAAAGTTAACCTATAACTGAAGGGATTTTCCTGCTTGTCAGTGGTGCAAATTCAGCCTGATGTCTGGATAACCAGCAATTTAAACCAAGAGAATTTAAACCTCTGTAGTACTTGAACATCTCATTGTTGTCCTAGTATATCTCCAGAAGCACTTGTACAATCCCATTGTTTTACTGGCATGATAAACCCATGGTTACATTCCACAGAAGTCAATGGAATTTTATCAGATAGCCCCAGTAGACATTTTTTGGGTCCTTCCCTCTGCACCAGACTATGGTGCAGTATATCAGCCTTACAGTCCTGTAGTGCACAGAAAAAAACATGAAACCAGGCAGTGGAAATTTGGCCTACCATGGCTTGCTGAACCATTTTCTAAAGCTGGTCTTTTGTTTTGCACTTTTTTATGCAGGTTGTTTACGTCCAACACTTTTGATGTTATTAGTGATGATGCTTTCATGGGCCTTCCTCATCTAGAATATTTGTGAGTGGACAAAAGTATATTTCCTGGAATTATTGAATAGAGTGGGTGGGCTTCCAAGTTCCAGGCATTGCTTTGACCAGAATGACTTTTTGACCCATTACAGGTTCATAGAGAACAACAACATTAAGTCCATCTCAAGAAATACTTTCAGAGGACTGAAATCTTTAATTCACCTGTAAGTAAAGTGGTTGGATATATTACTTGATATATTTAATATAGTAACTGAACCACTGTGTTGTTGAATTTCTCATTTTGATATATATCTGTTCATATTTGTTTAAGTGGTATCAGTAGCAATTTGATTAGAATGTTAATCTTTGTGTTTCCACCAAAGACTTCCAAACTATGGTATGTATAGAAGGCAATGACCCAAACAGCTTCCAAGCAGTACATGTTTGGCAGTAGCTCCCTGACTTTCTCTGCTCCAAGCACTGGGGATTTCCAACTGAGCATGTGGGAGCAGAGAGAAAGGAGTTGGGAATCTTGGCACTGATGAGGTGAGTCCCAGTTTGGGACATGGGGAGGAGGCAAGTGGGAGCTGTGGTTAGGAAGGCGAGAGGCTGAGGCATGAACACATAGCTCTTCCCAGGCACCCCAGTCTGGCATGGATCCAGAATAATATTTACAGCCATTCCAGGGACAGGCCATCACTGCCTGTGCCCATGTCCACTTCAGCCACTAACGGTATCCAAAAGACTTTGACTAAATCAAATTTGAAAATTCCCACCCAGAACAATTTTAAATCAAAGATTTGCAATAAGATGCATTTATTATGTCTTACTGATCCACTTATTCCACTTCACTGTAAAGTAGAGCAACCAGACTCCAGCAGGACTGGCTTCAAAGCCCTGCTCTGCACCCTGTCCTCTCCTGCGCACAAGCAGGAGCATCCCACAGTCAGGACCTGTCACACACTGACACTGGGCTCTGCATAACTTTCCTTGTGTTGCTGCTCAGCCCTTTGGCTGTCTTGGCCAACCCTTGCTCTCTGACATGCTGCAGCCCCTTGCTGCATTAGCCAATAGGGGAAATTAGTCCAAGGCACTCTGGATGCCAGTGTGGCTGTTGGGATCAATTCACCCTATGCCCACCCCAGCAAGGGAGTTTTTCACACTCTGCTCAGCAGGTGAAACACACACTGGCAACAAATACCTACAACATTTCACTGCAAACACAGGAGCAGCATCGTTGTGCTCTGAGCTGGTGAGACAGTTTCTAGACAGGCTTTTGTCTCTTACCTTACAGCAAGTTTATCTTTTAACAAGGAATAAATTTATTGAAAACACAATACACACTATAAGAAGACAGAAAAAAATACAAAAATACTGGAAAAAAGGGAGACTAAAACGTGTAGTGTGCCTGACATGGGTTTATACCCAGTTCTAAGCAACTGTATTCTGAAGCATCTCTGTTGGGGTGTGTGTTATAGATAGAGGAATGGATTCTGACCTTTTGGCCTTAACATGATGACCTCCAAGAGGGTTTTGAAACAGAGTCATTTAACTTTTTCTTTCATATATTTTGATAGAGGAGAGAAAGCAAAGGTTACATTTAAAATAGTTAATGCATAAATATAATAGTGGAATTGCAATTCACCACATCCTTTACCACCAAGCCTACTGTGTCTACTCATGTGAATAAAGTTACTTGTGGAATGGCTCTAGGTCTGAGGAAGAGGAAAGAGAGAGGAAAGGGAAAAAGCTACATAAAAAGGCTGTGCACATCCCATAACAACCCATAGTAGAGGTACAGGCATAATTATACTGTTGTTAAAAAAGGTAAATAATTGGATAAGGCTGGTAACTGGGACCCTATCTTCAAAATAGTTATGCACATGAATAGCTTTATATTCACAAATGGGTCCAGTACATTATTTATCATATTCATTTACTTATTTATTATCTGCTGCTGCCAGTGAAAAAATTGCTTTTCCAACACAGAGAAAGGCACAGTTTCTTCTCCACAGAGCATACAGTCCAAGAGTAACATCTTGTCTTGCCTGCTACATTGCTTTCTGGGGAGGCTTCAGGAGTCTCACAAGAGAAAACATATGCAAAAGACAACCACATTTGAGGAGCCACTGCCATTTGCACACATATTTTTGGGACATAGAGTTGTGCATCATGCTGCTATTGTCCATGGAGTGCTATTCACAAAGACAATGAGAAATTTGCGGAAAATAACTGCAAAGGCACCACAGAATGTGACTAGTTTAATCTGCTTGCAGAACCACTCCCCATCCTTTGGGGAAAATTGCACATACATTTTAAGAATAATCATTTGGCACCCCGAGGCATTTTTCATTTAAAAAACAAGAGAGTACTTGTGTACATAACATATATTAAAAAGAATCTTAGTAAATAAGCATACAAATGAGTTTTATGAAGTTAGATAAGATGAACTTTGTTCTGTTTAATCTGTTCACTCCCTTTTCACAACATTAGTTTTGCAATGAGGTAAGCTATCCAAACATTTGTATTTCTATAATGCCATTAACTTTGATAATTACAGTGTGTCCTTATTGTAAAAGAAAGCCATCTAATATTTATTTTTATGCAACAGGATTTATTTTCTGATCAGAGTAGATTTAAGAAAATAAAAATAACTTCTTTTTACTAATTTACTAATTTGATGTCAAAATCTTACAGTTAGCATTGGACCATAATTTCTATGCCCAATATATAATTTTGATTGCATTTCTTTCAGAACTGTGATTGTAGTGTAACTGCATGTTGCAGTCAACCTTTACTCTCTTATTATAAAGCCAATACCAGCACCAAACACCAGCACCATCTAGACAAGCCAATGGTTTCTAATATATAAGTATGCTTTTTAACAGTGAAATATAAAATACATAATTTTCATTCAAAAATTGACAAATGCATAAACTTATTTAAATTTTTCTGTCAGTCGTATTCCCATGGCTGTGGTGAACCACTGCTACTTCCAAGTACATCATCCCTTTCAGTTTGCTATATAATAATATATAAAAACTATACAAGGCATTAAACTTGTCTCAGCTTGCAAGTCCACACAGCTTTCTCCATGTGAGTCACCTGACTTTCAAAAATTGCTCTTGAGCATAAAATTACGCATAAGTGAAGCAGACGATACGTACACATACAGTATTGCAATCAGATGTACTTTGAAAATGGTGAAGTCAGAATGGACTAATGGAATCATCTCATAGTTACTATTCCTGATAAGACAAACACTTAATTTTAAATGAGGCAGCAGATCTAGTATCTCTAGGCCTGTTCCTGAATTTAAGTTTATGCTAAGTGTCTTTGCTTGACTAAAATAATTGTGGTTAATAAATAACTTTTATGTTTACAAATTAAAACAGAAGAGGTTCCAAGTCCTACTAGTTGCAAATTCTAACTGGGATCTTAAACAGGAATGATTTCTTTCCATTTTTGTTTCTTCTCATAAGTAATAAATAATTTTGTTATTTGAAAGAAGTGTAAACTATACCCTACAACATCATTCTTTTTCTGTCATGCGCTCTAAGACATCTCCAAGACCTTTGGTGGACTCACACAGATATGTCTGACTGAAATGTTATGTATTGTTTGTTTAAAGCCTGCTCACATTTCCTCGTCACTTTTACTAGCTAGAATACTCACTGAATTGAAATGAATTCTCCCAATATTAAAAATTGGGAATTAATGGCAGCTTTTTGCTGGTCCTGTACACACACACACACACACACGCACATTCCAGGATAAAAATTCATGCAATTTATTGTCTATTACTGCATATTTCCAAAAACTATGAGCTAAACCTAAACCCATCACAATGTAACATAGTACCAAGATTTTCCTTCCAGAAAAGATTACAAGAAAGTGGGGAAAGTGCAGTAATATGAACACCATGTATTGAGATCTCTTAAGGAAAACATCAGTAGATCCAATCATGACTAATTGTTTTAAAATGTTAAATGGCATTGGCAAAACACCAAAGGTGATTGCACTTTTTACTCTGCTAAGTGAGGTATTGTAAATGCTGCAAGGCTGAAGAGTGTGAAAGTAGAAGGAGGCTTGGCAGTTTAACAGAAGGAAAAGTCACAAAGTAAATGAGCTAGCCTTAAAAGCAGTCTTTTACAATGAAGTGCTGGAGAATACCAGTGTTCTTTACCATAAGAAAAAAACCCCACACAGTATATTACACCTTGCAAAAATGTGTAGTTCCATGAACTAGTACTAATACCGAAGTGTTTTCTTTTGCAGGAGTCTTGCAAATAATAATCTCCAGTCCCTTCCAAAAGACATATTCAAAGGCTTGGATTCTTTAACAAATGTGTAAGAAAGCAATTAATTAATCTATTAATTATACTAAAAGTATAAGGAGTTTATTTTAGAGGACATTCTGAGTAACCATTCAAACCAGTAGCAAGTAAGGGGATTTTATTACTGGATAGAGACTACATAGAATGAGTAGGATTCTTTTTTTACCTACTGTTGTTGAGAATTTACATTCGTTCTGAATATTCTACCAGTTATGAAGATAAGTAATATTGTTAGTAGTTATGTAATAAAGATGCATGTTCATTAATACTTTGTGAATAAGAAGGAAGTATCCTTAGGGATGCATGAGAGAGCAAGGCATGAGGGGAAGGTATTTAATGGAGTAACATTTTAATGTGCAAGCAATTTCTGGGAAAGCTATCTTGTATCACAAAAGCATGTGTCTTAGTAAGTACCATATCCCCTGCTAAATCTAACTGCAACCAAAACAAAACATCAGCTTGTTTAAATATAACCAAATACCAGTAAAAATACAAAATATAGATAAACAGGTAAATTCTGTAGTTGCTTCACTGAAATAGATCCTGTTTACACTACACCAAATCCCGGTTCACCTGATTTGGCATAATAAGCACAGAAAAAGCCTGCTCCCTGTATTCACAAGGTAGGCTGAATTCCTAGTGTAGAGCTGCAGTAGTAAGATGTGGAGATGGTCAGTGTATCTGGTAGCATTACTTGGCATGACTGACCATGGCCAGGTGGTTACACAGCCTGGTCCTGGCACTTGCCTGTTCCTGTACATACGATCGGAAATCTAACTCAAGACAGCTGTAAAAGACTTGAACAGAACACCTTTGCTTGTGTCTCCTAAAGCCCTAAATGAGTATATCTAAAGGGGACAGTGAATACTGACTGGCTGACCATAAGGTTATGTTAATTCCTATTTTGTTATCTAGAATGCTCTTATAGAGAAAGTGTAGTCCAAAAGAAACAGGGGTCAATAGTTTGGTAAGCGTTTGAGTACCTGTAAACTTGGGGAAATCAACAAAAATGTCTGGCTGATCATGAAGTTAAGGTCTCCTTGTTTACCTTACTATAATTAAATCTCTGTGTGTGCTGGTATGTGGATTTAACTATGGGTCAGGACAAATTAAGCCAGGAAGGCATCAAGTGAGAATAAGCAAGAGGGCACATATTTAACATGAGCCTATTTTTTTGTTCTGCAAGGAGGAATACATCAGCAGACTACTTATTTTCAATGCATGATTGATTTGTTGTAGAGATCTTAGAGGCAATGCATTTAATTGTGACTGCAAACTGAAGTGGTTAGTGGAATGGCTGGGCAGCACCAATGCAACAGTCGAAGACATTTACTGTGAAAGCCCAGCAGAATATAAGAAGCGCAAAATCAATAGCCTCTCTCCAGAAGAATTTGATTGCTTTATTACAGGTAATGTGCTTCAAATTATTTAATCTTGTTAAATTGAAGTCAAAGCTATAGTTTTTCATTCTAGAGCCCATTTTAGCAGGAAGTCTGCATGCTGGATGGAACTTCCACTAAAATCAATATGAATTCTGTGCAGGTGTAAGTGTGACATGGGAATCATTTGCGAGCGGAGTCTTATATTGCAGCATCTACTCAGACTTTAATATGTTACATAAGGATTTGGAGAACTGGAACATAAAACAGCACCTCTTTTGATTAAGAAAGATTGAAAACCAAATTGCAGTGCTCCTTTATCAACAGAAAAATTGGACTAGTGATGAAACACTGTAATTTGTAAAAAATTGCTGTCTGATAAGCAGATTTTTTTCAGTACAGTATGTAAAGTATCCCTATAATTATCATCTGTTGTGTGCACTTTTGCAGAATTTGTAGTTTATCAGTCCCTGCCATACCAATCTCTGTCAGTAGATACTTTCTCATATATGAATGATGAACACGTGGTTATTGCTCAGCCTTTTACTGGAAAATGCATCTTTCTTGAATGGGACCATGTGGAAGTGATGTTCAGGAATTATGACAACATTACAGGTATGAATACAGCTTGACAAATAACATTCCAACAGCTGATCCAAAAGTGGTGCTAACCCTGTCTTTTACTTTTCTTTTCATAGGTACTTCGACTGTTGTGTGTAAACCTATAGTTATTGAGAGTCAGCTGTATGTCATTGTCGCACAGCTGTTTGGAGGCTCCCACATATATAAAAGAGATATTTTTGCTAATAAGTTTATAAAAATTCAAGATATTGAAATCCTTAAAATCCGAAAACCCAATGACATTGAAACTTTCAGGATTGCTGAAGACTGGTATTTTGTTGTTGCAGACAGTTCAAAGGCTGGTTTCACCACAGTTTACAAGTGGAATGGGAATGGATTTTATTCCCATCAGTCTCTGCATGCCTGGTACAGAGATACTGATGTGGAGTATCTTGAAATATCTGGCAAACCACATTTAATTCTGTCAAGTAGTTCCCAAAGACCTGTAATATATCAATGGAACAAAGGAACCAATGAGTTTGTTAAGCGGTTTGATATCCAAGATATGGAAGATGCATATGCAGTGAAACATTTCAAAGTGAAAGAGGATGTATACATTTGCTTAACAAGATTTATTGGGGACTCTAAAGTAATGAAATGGGGTGGTTCAGCATTTCTGGATTTACAAAGGATGCCATCCCGAGGGTCAATGGTATTCCAACCACTTCAGATAAATAATTATCAATATGCCATTCTTGGAAGTGATTATTCTTTTACTCAAGTCTATTATTGGGATGCGGAAAAGGCAAAATTTGTGAAGTTTCAAGAATTAAACGTACAGGCGCCAAGATCTTTCATACATGTCTCCATCGATAAATCCATAGATTTTCTCTTTGCTTCAAGTTTTAAGGGAACTACATTGATTTATAAACATGTCAGAGTTGACTTAAGCGCATGACACTCATAATTCTGAAATTACATGAGACTTTCTACCGTAAGCGGACAAAATGAACTAAATGCATGATGACTCTCTTATCTTACTTCCAAATGAATGCCTTTAAAAGTTGAGATTGCTAGAACAAAGTATTACTAGTATCTTCATCTTTAATTGTCAAGTCTAGTGGTGTTGGAAGTTGCATTTTTTAACAAAAGGAAATTAAATTAACTGTTCTTTGCATCCACAATATGTAAATATGTGTGCAACTGCATCTGTTGCTATAAAGAATATTAAGATGTACTTTTCCATTTATTTATTCACCTGTTTGAAAAAACTGCCAAATAAAATGTTTACATTTTGTGTCTTTCACATTCCAAATATTATTTGCAGGTGATACTTTTTATTTGTGTATATATTATACACATATAAAATAAAGCCAAGAAGGCATATTGCCCAACACAATGTTGTACTGCATAGAAGATGTCCAATATTGAAGATCAGGTGGGTTTTACATACAAAAAGAAGTTCTTGATAAAAATACTACATTGTAACACAAGTCTATAAATTATCACTGGACATATCCTTGCAGTTATGTGAAGCTTCACTAATTTAAACAGAACGCTACCCAGAAAAAAGTAGTTAGTTATATAGATCTGGCTATAGGATGAAGGGTTCAGTAATACACATCTAATTATAGGATGGGGCTTTGTACTGTGTATAGCTGGAAGCACCCAATTCTCTAAAATTTATAAAGAAATCTGCAGAATAAAAGACAAGGTAAAGGTCTGTCTTTCTCCACCTGATGCTGAAGCAGCACAAAACAAATCTCTTGTATAACACTGGGGCTGTTACTGTGCTGAAAGCTAGAAGCACAGCTTATTTTTCAGCTAGCACTATTTCTATAGCTGAACTGTCACACATCACTTGCATGAATTCTGTGTGTCCCTGTCAAGTCTTTTCACTGTAATTGAATTATTTAGTCTTCAATGAATTTATTCCTTATTCTGAATGAAGCTAGTGAATGTGAAGTAATTTTTTTCTACTATCCTGCAATGAAGTTTAGTAACAGATCCTTCTGAAATTCAGGGAATTTTGAATTTGGCAGGATAAATTCAGTTTGTATAGCATATGCAACTCCAGGAAGGATACCTATATCTGTTAAGCTATGCCAAATTTGAATTTGGCATCAAAATCTATTACAAACTCACAGTTAAAATAGTCTTTTGTTTACATACATCTAGTGCATCACTTGTGAGAAACCTACACTGCTGCTGAAGATGATTTGGTAGAGCTCAGGAAGAGAGCTCAAGTTTATTTTAGAAACCTTTGCACTTCACTTGAAGTTATCAAGCATTGTGGCTCCAGTGCCATCTTTAAAATATACACATGAATACCATGTATATTTATACACATTTCTAACATTTCTAACATTCACAAATGTTGACTGGCAAATAATACTAATCATATGCATGTCAGCTAATCACATGAGCTGATTAATGTGTATTTTAAGAAGCCAGTCCTAAACACTATGTTTCTATTATAAAGAATGGAGGGGGTTTATATTAAATGTTATTTGAAAAGAAAAAATCCCACTTGAACAATACTATTCTAATATGGTAATTTTTTGGATACCTTTTTATTCATAGTTGCCTGGGTTCTGGTCAGTAATTGGCTTAATAACTACCTATTCCATAAGTATTTACAGTGTGTCTAGAAAGATTTTAAACTATGTTTCACAGCTGAAACATCCAAATTTTTTCTTAATAAATACATTTTCAAAAATCATCTTGATAAATCATCTCTTGTTTGACAGGTTTCTTTTATATGTCAAACCTTATTTTCTTTATATATTTTTAGCTTTTATATGAGCATGATTTCAAACCCCAGATGAACCCAAATAATCTTTTTTAATATTTCTCAGTGTTGGCTGCACATCTGTGATTATGAACTCAGTTTGTCCATTTCTTCTTCAGTGCTTGCACGGCAAAGAAATGAAATGCAAAGTCATGAACCCATCTCCAATCTACCAGCAAATCATGAAGTGTTTTCAGCTTCATCTTGTCTTTTGTTTCAGTCTTTTACTTAAGGTCCTATTGAGTTACATGTGCTGATTTTGATCTGATTTTTCCCATTATACTTGCCTACATGCACTCTCTATCAAATTATAGAGGTAATAGCTATGTATCCCTCTTATTATGGACATATTATGAATTTAAGTGGAGTCGGAGAACCTTGCTAATCTGCTACCAACGTTTATTTACAAACACTATTGCCCAATATATTGTCTCACAATTCTACCTTGAGAAAGTTGTTTCATGGAGTCATATTTCAGAGCCAGCCAGTCATGCTGGCTATGCCCTATGCTACAGTAGTGCTGTGATTGTTTTCCTGAAATAACATGACAGACTTATGGGAATTCACTGTTACTCCTGGGTTTAAAAGAAGAGTTTAAAAGGCTGCAAGGGTGTGAGTCAGTAGACTTTTACATTCATGATGTCTGTAAAGCTAACAGCAGTACAGTGGAGGGTAGCAAGAGATTAAACCGCTGGAGTACGTAACTGCATTATTGGTTTAGTTGTTCCTGCAGAAAATTTGACCTGCAGTCAAGTACTAATTCTTTCGGAAAGTTCTTAATGCTTATATCCTTTTTGGAAGGTCAACTAATTACTATAAAATGCTGAATATAAATCTGTTCTCTTTTGAAAATCCCTTTCTCTAGTCAGTTTATGTCAGGTGGATACTCACAGGGACTACAGGCAGTTTCTTATTGTGCAAGTATAGCATTTCTTTGCACCACATGAGGAACCGGGTTATTTTTAGAACGGAACTCATAATCCTTAACGTAGAAGAGTGTAAAGGCTCATTAGGTGGTTCCCTATGCTGTTTCGTTCTAATTTCAGAGACTGGGCATTTTAACAGCTCATCTGAGCATAAGGCCATATTCCATCCTGGCTCTCTGCTCAGGATTCCCTCTGGTATCAGTGAAAGACTCAGACAATAACTAGAATAGAACCTTTTATCACATATACATTGATACTTCTTAAAAATGTTGTTTAAAAAAACCCTTTTCTTTCAGCAAAGTCTATCTTACTTGTGGCTGACTGGTTGTCTTCTGTAGTTGTAATGGATTTTCTAAACTCCCTAATTGTTTTGTGTATGACTGACAGAGTATGTAAAGTACTAAATGTATTACAGAAAACAGTACTGAAGGTTATTAATGGGTACTGCTGATCCTTGATGCTGCTTAGTTGTGTTAACTTCTAAGACATAAAAAAAAGGTTAGTGGAATTGTATTGTATTCCTACAACTACTTCATTATTTTTAATAGAGCAAAAATATAAAAGAATATACACCTCTTTACTCTGGAAGAGATATATAAAATACATTCAGAATACCTGACACTACACCACGTGTGACTTTTTTTATTTTGTCTATTGTAATGTCTAGGACTTGCGGGTTTTTTGTTTCTACTTATTTTCCATTGAAAAAATATTCCGAAATGCACTCTTCCTACACTCTTTCCTTCAGAAAGGAAAAATCTTGTTGTGTAAGGTAACAAAACAAACAGAAATGTATTATTGGTTTGTATTTAATTTTAACTATAACTTCTCTTTATTATCTTAATTTTTTACCTTTATTTGAAGGGGTTGTAACAGCCATTCAAAGTACACTTGAGGATGGGAAACAATTATTGGCATAATTAATAAGATGTGTGATATGCTTTGATATGTTTTAGTGGGAAGCTCACTGTCTAAAAGCTGTATTTATGTATATGAGCATAACAATATATTGTATTAGCATTCAATGGAAAATAAAGAATATTTAAACCACAGAAGTAACGAACGGTCCTCAGACTTACAATAGCACCAAGAGAAAGCAGAGAAGTCATCATGCCCAAAATGTTACAAGGGACAGAGTATCAGCCCACAGCAAGTCTCAGGAGTCTGGAAATTTTCCCTTTCAAGGAAGTATTTTCCTTACCACAAAACCAGAATGTTTTCCTCCTCTGTGGGGACCCCTGAAAATCCAGACAATCACCCAGCTCTTGCAAAATATAGTAAGAGGCTTACAAACTTAATGCACTACATCCTTGATCCTAATATGTGGAATTTTTTCCTTTTGACACCTCTTTGTTACATCAGTCTCGACCATGGTGACACATATGGAGTGGTAAGCACGCTACCGCCCACCACAAGGGCCAGGGCCCTGCCAGGGCTGGACAGAAGTTAAGCCAGGTTCAGCAGATGGAAAATGCAAACCCAAACACTCAATTCACTCAGCTGCTAATGCCTCCCCCACTGCCTAGCAGGCTTTCTCTCTGATTTGTTATACATATTGCCAACACTTGCAGCTACCTTTCGTATGTCTGCAAGCCTTCTCCTCCCGTACTCGCTGATCTGGAGACCTGAGTGTGGTAGTAAAGCTGTGATTTAGACTTCTATTGATTAGAATGGCTGAATGTGTTTTTGTGGCCACGAGCTGACCGATAAATGTCGAGGTCTCAGGGAGTTCAATTCCTCAAGACAGAGCTGCGGTACACTGCCTGACTTACTGCTAATGGCAACTTTTCTTCGTTACTGATGACTCTGAATTCTAATGGCTGGTGTTACAGGCATGTCTCTGTTTATAGTTCACTTAAACAAAGTGCTCAGAGGCGAACCTAACCCTATTTCTATTCAGGAATTTTCCTGAAATGAACTATAACTACAAAGACCTCCAGTGTGCTATACAGAAGTAGTGTTGTATTTGCGCTTTGAGACTTTGAATCTCTCCAATTAGTTATGGCAGTGTAATACTTCTGTCTTCAAATTTGTTACAGTAGAAAGCAATTTGCCCCTAAATACGCATATTTATATTCATATAATTGTTTATTTATACTCCAAATAAACTGAAGTGGATGATGGCAATAATTATGTTACTGTTCCCAATCTCCCATTCATCAAATCAGTTTCTGAATTCTCAAAAGTTGTTTTCAACTCAGCCTTACTTTATGCCTCCTACTGAATTATTTCAATTGAAAAAGGACTTTCTGACCCATTCTCACTTCCTGTTTGAAGGCCTGGATAGTGACAGCAGTATGTTAGCAAGTTGTCAACCTGCCCAGATGGTGAGCATCCAAAAATGCTGAAAGAGCTTCAGAATAAACAGGCTGATCTGCTAAGAATACACAGTCCTTCATTAAAAACCATTTATGTGCAAAAGAACTGGAAGTAACAAATATAATGTCTATTTTTATAAGAAGTTCATTGGATAACCAGTGGAGTTTCAGTCCAGTAAGATCCACGTTTATCTGAAACTATAAATGAAAATGGAAGTGTAAAATTTCAGGAGAAATGAGGTACCTCAGGATGTGGGACAAGCTGCACAGTAAGTTGAGGGTCCAGAAATGCAAAATATAGGAAATAAATGCTCGCAAAGTTTAAAATTAGCAATAAAGGAAGTCAACTTGATATTGTCCTGAGCAACTCAGCAAGACACTGATCTCAACATACAGCAACAGGAAAGAATAAATAATGTTACCAAATGTGCAGGGTAATAGGGGGAATACAATACTACATGTCATGGCAAATCAATGGTGTTGCCTTATCTGAGATGCTGCATGAAACACTAATGTAGCCATCTCAAAAAAACACACTTCAGGATGATTAAGGACTCAGAGAGATGTGGAAAAACTCATTGAAGATGTGGAACAAGATGACACTTGACACTGCTAAACACCAAGCCATAAACTGAAATACCTTCCCCCCTAAAATAAACTGTGGCATTCGTTGTAATAGGCAGTTGTTGAGTACAATAACATAGCATTCAGAAAGTCAAACATGGACAAATTACATAAAAATTGTAATTCTCTTTTTTAGTACTGAACATAATTGCTATTTATTAGGAAAGAGGAGGTTCTTTGCACTTCTGTCAGAAGCATCTGGCTGTAGCCACTTTGGGTGAAAAGCCAAGAAGTGGGATAATGAATATACTCCAGTGTGGTATTTCCTACCTTCATTTCTTGAGGCACATTGTTCAACTTCATTGCTGAGGTGCAAAAAATAAAATATATAAGTTGTACATATGAATTATCTGTTCAGAACCATTTACAATACCGAAAAAATCTGGAAGATACAGGCAATGTAATTCCTTGAAATTATGTCAACAATTAAAAAAAGTTGGCAAACTATTTGCAAACACTTGAGAATGTAATTGCACAACTTGGGCTGTATTCAGCTGTTTTAGTCCTGACCAAAGTAGACTCCCGTGGGAAGAGCACAACTTAGCCTTTTTATAAGCTTATTATTAAGATTTGAACATTAGAGCTCCAGGAATATTAGCTGCAAAGTACCTTATGATTAACCAGGTAATAGTATTATCCTGTGAGGGAGTAATTTCTAAATCACAGGAACAGATCACAAATTTTGGGAAAACAAACAAACAAACAAACAACCCCAATGTCACAATTTCCAAATAACTGAAATTTGAAACCCCTATCCTGCTCCCTTTTTGTCCCCCATATACAATAACATAATGATACTGCCCATTCAGGAAAAATACCAGTGAATATGTTGCTCCAGAGTGTGAAACAAAGGAAGAAAAAGGACAAATCTGGAACAGAAACTTTAATTGCACCTGTGAATCTCTAAATTTTCTGAGATATAGATTATTCCTGAAAAGAGAACATCCTTTTAATGTTTACATTTGAAGGCATTAGCTACCTGGATTATAGACTGCAAACACAAATAAAAATCCACTGCTTTTAAATAATTCATATGCCCTGGCACTAGTCCAGTCTTAAATCCTATCTCTAACTTTACCTTAGCATTATTTAAAATAACAATAACTCCTTCAAACTAAACTCACTTTAAGAAAAAATATCTGGTACAGTAGCTGCTAGGAAAGCTCTGCCTTTCTATACAGGGTTCTGGAGTTCATCAAACTGCAACAGCAGTATGATAATCATATTTTATTATCTTGAACCAAATTGGAAATTAATGTTTGTTCCAGAATTACAACTAATTTCAGAATTTTTTTAAAATTATTTTGAGAACAGTGATAATATCAGAGGATTTAAGAATAAGAAAAACGGACGATAATTTCAACTGTTTCTCAAAAAATCCTATGGTTGTGACTGTTGTCTAAAAGCTGCATAAATGTAACCAAGTACAGTTGCAAAATAATCCGTTAATTCAATTACATGAACTGTAAATTTTACCTGGCAAGACTATTACATATCAACTATGCTAGAGCAATATCACTGTATACAACCAGAGCTCTCTTAAGCCAGTAAATTGCAAAGGTGTTTCCTTCTCTGAGAGCACTTTGTAGCCCTCCTTGTGCCTGTGCAAGGAGCAGGCAGCCCAGAAGCTGCCCTTGGAAGAAGGGAACAAGCTCCATGCAAACCTAGACAGCAAAAATTTCCTGGAAGTACAACCACAGATCAGAGGCATTCCTCCCGGTGACAAGGACAACTCAGCAAGGTCTTGAGGGCACCAGCTCTTGCATGTCAGAACATTCCCAGTTTTGCTGGTATTTCAGAGGGAGTAATCAGCTTGTGTGTGTCATCAAACCCGAGCTCACTTAGTGTCCACTTGCTGGGGAGCCAAGAACAGATTGCAGAGATCAGCACACTGCGCAAAAGCTTGGTCAGCCCATTCCTGAGGGGCTGCCACTCTGGCACTGCTCACAGGATCTAAGTTAGCTGAGGTTACAGGGACCAAAATAACCATTGGAGTTAGACCTGGGTTCATGTGCTCCAATGTCTTGCCTGCTCGGAAGTGATGCTTAAAAAAACCCCCCAACAATATGGGAATTTCAGCACGATGATTTCCCAGGATACCCCGTCAGCCTCCAGCAAGGAAGGAAAAGAAACCATGCTTCTTGCCTTAAGGGGGTATTCTTGTGGACAGCAAAATGCCTGGAATAGATACATTCCGCACGCATGGCAGCAGTAGGCTTTTTTGCTATAACAAGGAATGCTCTTCTGCATTGCAGCTCCTGGAGGTAATGAAGCCCCCACTTATGTCTGTGACAAAGGGAAAGGGTTTTAAACCTGTGTTGCAAGGTTTTCTTTCCATAAAAACAGTTGGAGTTGCATTTCAGATCACTCCCCTTTCAACATACTAGTACGAGCAAACTGAGAGGAGTAAGCATTGCTTTAGCTTGTCGGAACAAGGTGAGAGGTGCACAGGCTGAATCATGTTAGTGTTTTATATAATATATAGTGTTTTATATACTTATGTATTAATATATAAATGTATGATAGCGTTCCAATACAGCAACACTGATCCATCACCTGTGACAAGGTTATGTACATTGTAATTTTTGTTCTGGGAACAAGTAGAAGCTAAGGAACAATAATTTCCTTCAAGTAAGGCATGTAAACAAATGCTTAATAATTCATCGGAGTTGCAAGTAAGGAAGTTTCCCCCTTCCTGCCCTGCAGAGCAGCCCCAGGCAGATAGCTTACAAAATAGGAAACATACTGTGCCAGCGCCAAGAAATGCAGCTGATTGAAATAGTTCTCTCCCTTTCCACGAAGAGAAACTATACATTCAGCCATCTCTACTGCTGTAAAAAGTCAGTTAAAGTGACAGTGAAAAAATGTAATTGAACAAGTTACCTTCTTTTAACAGTCACAAAGGCCATTATAGAACAGAAAAAAAACAAGTGAAAATAGCAACTTTGATCAACTCCCACTTTTCTCTCTTCTTCTTTGGGAGCTCTGATACTCAATGGCACTCAAGCTGTACTTCTGCTCTCTGAGTTTTGTACTGCGCTGCCTGACAGAAATCTCTGGAAAGTCACCACAAAGTTACATGATTTTTTATTTTTCTTTCTCTTCTCTCC